AATATGTATGGGAAGCAAAGGTGAATAAAGCAGAAGTTATTTTGATAGTTTATTGGACTCATTTGGCATGAATGGATAGAAAATCTGACTGAAAACTGAGAGAGAGTCCTAGAATACCATACCCTGTACCTTAAAGGATCCATTTTGTTATACTGAGTGGAGAAACACCAAAAGATATCGAACCACTCACCTATCTCAAATGGAATGATATGCAGCTTTAATTTGATTACTTGTTAAGAGGTTGCACAAATGGAGCACTTTATCACTGGTGGTGCAGTGATGTTGGTGTATTCACATGTGAGCACAATATAGTTATGTTTGTTTCGATTTACTGTATTTATAAAATACTACACTATAGTTTCTGTTGGGTTTCACATGTAATGAGCTGAAGATATTTGGGAAGCAAAGGTGAATAAAGGAAAAGACACACAGTCAGTGATTTCGACAATTTATTGGACCCATTTGGCATAAGTGGATTGCAAATCTGACACCAGACCTGGAAAGTTATCTGCAAAATAACACTCACCTTTTATAATTGTCCATGAAGCATTGAACATTCTTTTGGTTACTAGGAAGGTAGAGATGAATATTGTAAAAAGTTAACTTTTTTTCTTGAACAGGGATTCTGGGAAAGTGCAGGTTTAGAGTAATTCAGCAGCCTGCTTTGTGTTAGTATTGGCTATTCATACTGTTTGGCATGCTTAGAAAAATGAAAATGTGAATACCCATTTTTTCTTATAAATGAGATTATTATTAAACCTAGTCAACTATATATTGAAATGATTGTATGTTACTAGCAATGTTTAATCAAATGTCAGCACAGTGGCTAAATGGTTATCACTTCTGCTTGGCAGTACTAGGGTTGTTGGTTAAAATCCCAACCACGGCACCACCTGCCTGGAGTTTACATGTTTTCCCTGTGCCTGCATGGGTTTCCTCCGGGTACTCTGGTTTTCTCTTACACACCAAAGACATGCTGGTAGGTTAATTGGATCCTGTCTAAATTGGCCCTAGTATGTGTATGTATGAATGTAAGTTAGGGGCCTTAGATTGTACGCCCATTGAGTGTTAGGGACTGATGTGAATGTACAATATATATACAGTGGGGCAAAAAAGTATTTAGTCAGCCACCAATTGTGCAAGTTCTCCCACTTAAAAAGATGAGAGAGGCCTGTAATTGGCATCATAGGTAGACCTCAACTATGAGAGACAAAATGAGAAAAAAAATCCAGACAATCACATTGGCTGATTTGGAAAGAATTTATTTGCAAATTATGGTGGAAAATAAGTATTTGGTCAATATCAAAAGTTCATCTCAATACTTTGTTATATATCCTTTGTTGGCAATGACAGAGGTCAAACATTTCCTGTAAGTCTTCACAAGGTTGGCACACACTGTTGCTGGTATGTTGGCCCATTTCTCCATGCAGATCTCCTCTAGAACAGTGATGTTTTCGGGCTGTCGCTGGGCAACACGGACTTTCAACTCCTTCCAAAGGTTTTCTATGGGGTTGAGATCTGGAGACTGGCTAGGCCACTCCAGGACCTTAAAATGCTTCTTACGAAGCCACTCCTTAGTTGCCCGGGCGGTATGTTTGGGATCATTGTCATGTTGGAAGACCCAGCCACGTTTCATCTTCAATGCCCTTGCTGATGGAAGGAGGTTTGCACTCAAAATCTCACAATGCATGGCCCCATTCATTCTGTCCTGTACATGGATCAGTCGTCCTGGTCCCTTTGTGGAGAAACAGCCCCAAAGCATGATGTTGCCATCCCCATGCTTCACAGTAGGTATGGTGTTCTTTGGATGCAACTCAGCATTCTCTCTCCTCCAAACACGACAATTTGTGTTTCTACCAAAAACAGTTCTATTTTGGTTTCACCTTACCATATGACATTCTCCCAATCCTCTTCTGGATCATCCAAATGCTCTCTAGCAAACTTCAGACGGGCCCGGACATGTACTAGCTTAAGCAGGGGGACACGTCTGGCACTGCAGGATCTGAGTCCCTGGTGGAGTAGTGTGTTACTGATGGTAGCCTTTGTTACGTTGGTCCCAGCTCTCTGCAGGTCAGTCACTAGGTCTCCCCGTGTGGTCCTGTGATTTTTGCTCACCGTTCTTGTGATCATTTTGACCCCACGGGGAGCCCCAGATCGAGGAAGATTATCAGTGGTCTTGTATGTCTTCCATTTTCTAATTATTGCTCCCACAGTTGATTTGTTCACACCAAGCTGCTTGCCTATTGCAGATTCAGTCTTCCCAGCCTGGTGCAGGTCTACAATTTTGTTTCTGGTGTCCCTCGACAGCTCTTTGGTCTTCACCATAGTGGAGTTTGGAGTGTGACTGTTTGAGGTTGTGGACAGGTGTCTTTTATACTGATAACAAGTTCAAACAGGTGCCATTGATACAGGTAATGAGTGCAGGGCAGAGGAGCCTCTTAAAGAAGAAGGTACAGGTCTCTGACAGCCAGAAATCTTGCTTGTTTGTAGGTGACCAAATACTTATTTTCCACCATAATTTGCAAATAAATTCTTTCAAAATCAGCCAATGTGATTGTCTGTCTGGATTTTTTTTTCTCATTTTGTCTCTCATAGTTGAGGTCTACCTATGATGCCAATTACAGGCCTCTCTCATCTTTTTAAGTGGGAGAACTTGCACAATTGGTGGCTCACTAAATACTGTATATATATATATATGTAAAAGCGCTGCATACATTGACAGTGCTATATAAGTACCTGAAATAAATAAACAAAAGTCAAACAATATAATGGTTCTTCCAAATTGTAGTCCTTTCCATTCTGCGCAAGGAAACCTGAATGTGCTCCATCATTTCTGGCCATTGTCTGCTGCACTGGAAAAGGTTAACGCTGACATGTGGGGTATCTCTGCATGCAGTCGATATGTTTTAGTTTATATAGGAAGCAGTAGGAGAACAATATTGAAAAAAAAAATTTTTTTTATTTTACAATATACTTGTACAATGATACTCAAGAACTAAAAAAAAATAAACCGAGGAAATGTATATTTATTGTTAGCAGTATTTGGGTGTCTGCCATGGTGTCCCTGTTATTGGGGGAACTAGGACAATATGTTTAGAGTTGTATTTATATAATAAAATTGATATAGTGTATACAAAATTATAGAAAAGGTTTTAACATTTTTGTCAGGTTTACCCTCCATAAAAAACACCCACAAATCAATTTTTTTGTGTGTCCACCCCCCAAGAAAGAAAACCTTGCATGACTTTTATAAATGTAGAGTAACTGAATGTAAGCAATATAAACACCTAGGGCTCTATTTATTTTTTTAAAAATGTACATAGTCATTTATCTAGCAATTTTGCATGTACATGTATTGTGTGAATTGGACAAAAATGAAAGTTTATTAGATTATTTTCTCTTCTCAGTGAATGTTCTTTTATTTTGGAGGGCAGTAAAATACTGCAATATGGTCACTATATGAAGCTGAATTTGTAGCAAGAGATACAACATAACAATTCTGGAGAACACTGGAGGGAATTAGAAGATACATTTAAAAGTGTTACTGTTTCTTCTTTAGAAGAAGAAATGAGATCTTGTAGTCATGTCTGTCTCCTCCATTTACAGCATTGACTTAAAGTGTTTCTAAACCCACAACAGTAAAGTCAGTCTGTATATGCAGTAAAGCATGCCTGTTATACTCACTGTGGAACCTAAGGGGTTAATCCTCTGTATAGTGTAAAAAGGATGTTTGATCCTCTACTTCTACTGTCCCCAATCCTTCTGCTGCTACAACCAAGACTTGGGGGCAAGCTGCACATGCTCAGTTTGGTATGCATTGCTAGAGAGTTTTTTTTTTTTTTCCTTGGGAGAGTGTATGTGATCAGCACAGATCCAATCCGCACTGTCCAGAAAGAGGTAAGGGGTTCTGCATCCTCTTATAGCAGAATGAAAACTACTCCTACAAGCTTTAACCAGTGCTCTGCTGGACACTGATATTAGTTATAAGACTACTCTAACTGCTGATGAGAAAAGGCATTTAGTAGTTTATATTTACTAAAATAATTGCATTTCCATGTTATGTGTACTGTGGAAGACCAGATATAGTGAATGCAGGGTCCTGGGTTTAGTAACACTTTAACTATTGGCAACCCCTGATTCACACATATATGTTCCTGCGGTCCGCAAACAGACTCCCGTGCCCCGGGACACAGAGGGAAGGAGTCCATGTACTTCTTCTGAAAATGTAGCCCGCACAGGAAGCTCGATTCCCAGTACAGTTGCGATTTCCAGTGTGGGCGGCGTGCCATTACAATTAATGGCACCCGCCCACAGATCCGCATTCTTCTGTGCGGGTGGTGCGGCTGCATGGATTTTTGTGCGGATCCGCAGTGGCACCACCTGAACATATGTGAACCTAGCCTTGATGAGGATCAGTAAATTGTTACATTTATTTGTTAGTCCCCTGTAGTGTTCTATAAAATTGTTACATTGTATCTCTTGTTAAAAAGATGTATTTCCTATGCTCTTCAGCTCCATCTAATGGTCATAATGTGGTATTTTACTACCCATTATAAAATAACATTTGTTCAGATAAGAACATTAATTTTTGCCCAATTCACACAGAATGCAGATTTTCTGGATGAATTGCTATTCAAATGTTTTTTTTTTATAAACAGACCCCTGAAACACAGCTCAAAAAGCTGCAATATAACTCTGTTAATAAAGGGGTTTGAGATGAAAGTTTACTTGGCATAAAAATACAGCTCCACTCTCTCTCCCTCTCTGTGGTTACATATTCTCACAGCTGATATTTCAGTATATACTGTATACAGACACACATAATTGTTAGTCTTCTTTTTAAGAATACTAAAAGGAAGCCTTCGACAATTGTCATGTATTCCTCGCTGGTCAGGTGACTTGAGATCAGCTTCCCCACAATATCCATCTCTGTGGAACTTCTATGGCGGAAAGTTTAGCTGCACACAAGGCACATAATAATAATTCCATCATAGACAATGTTAAATCTCTTCACTCCTCAGTTGTTTCCATCGGAATGAGGAATCCAAGTGGAAGTCTTCCTTCTCCTGTTCTTTGGCCAACTCAAGGAAAACCTGTTAGTAATCAAATAATAGAAAAAGACTAAGCACCTTCTTAAAATACCTAAGATTCATGAACATGGCCAGGAAAATCAAGCAAGTTAGTAAAGATCAACCTGTTTTTTCCTTCACCCTGCTGTCCCCTGAGACCCTTACTGGAAATCTCAGAGTATAAGCAAGCCTACATAAAAAAAAAAAAAAACTGCAAAAAAGTAGAGATTGTATAACCACGTGTATCCATGTTCATTGGATATAAGTGCCATTACCTGCTCGAGGGTGGACTGGGAGAAGCTGTATTCTTCAATGTTGTAAGTTTGTTTAGCTGTGTAAAGAAAATATACAAAGATCACTGACCTTATAACATCCTGTTAGTTCATTAACATTCATCTTCAGTTCCATTACAAGCTGCATAATCTTACCATTTTCCAAGTATAGGAAGGCCTGTGACAGAGACTGTACGTTATCCATTGGGATCTTATAGACCAACATGGAAGAGAACCTGCAGGGTAAAGACAGGCATTCAATGGAAACATCCAATCACTAAACCCAACAAATTTATAAAGTAAGGGTCACCTGTCATCCATCACAGACATGCAGTATTTGTGCTCTGCTCCACTTTCATGTGTTATAGTGAACTGCATCAGATTATTGGTTTGTACTATGCTAACATCTAGTGGAAGGTTTGGGCCTTTATAACTTGTTTACTATGTGATTCTGGCATCTCCATCTGCCCTCCCCTCCTGTTTAGTGATAGTTAGTTCACTCCTAGCTAGACCATCCCTATTTCTTCCATGTTCTCTCAGTCAGCGTTAGTACTTCACAGAGACAGGGCTTATGAAAGTTATTGTCTTTTCATATGTCAAAAGACTCGAAAAACATTCTCTGAACTGTATTTAGCTGACGTAAAATAGCATTGGTTTTAAACTTCTGTGTCTTATTAAAGAGTTAAGCTGCCTGTGGTTGGTGCCATGTCAGCAGGTGACCATACTGTCCGGTCAGACTAGGTCTAAGAAGGTATGTCAATGCTATAGTGGCATTTGAAACAGAACTATTTGGTTTAAGAATCAGATGGAGGAGAACTTACCTTGTTTACTTACAGATCTGCCTGTACATGGACCCTGGGGAGTTAGTATTAAAGGGACCTGGAAGATCTTCAAAGTTCTCTGTTACACTTGTGGCCTGTAGTTGCTGGGATCTAAGGGTTCCTTACTATGTGTGGCTCTGTCATAACCAGAGATTTAGGAATCTATCATCTAAGGATATGGTAATTCTGAGGATCAATTATTACAGGGGACCCACAAATCTGTCAATAATGGGGATAGAATGATCAATCATTACTGGAGGTCTTGGAATCTTCCTGAGACTGAGCTACTTTACCTGTCCTGCCCTGGTGGCTTGTGGGAAGAGGCGGAGGACCTCCTGGTGGATCACATCTACCTGCTGGGTGTCCTTTAGTTTGATCTCCAGGAGATAACCTTTACCAAATTTGCTTTTCAGATGCTGGATGGATCCGATACACCTAGGAGAGAAATGCTGTGAAATATTTAAACACTTAATGTACACACATACAGGAAAAACTTTTTTTTTAAATTCTGGATGGAAGGATTAGACCCTCCACCAAATTTGTATTGTTTTCTGTGGAGATTCACCCTTCCGTTTGTCCTGTTGACCTTTGCCATCACTACAGAAAGTAAGAGGAAATCCTACATTTTAGAATTTTGAGATGAGGGCAAATCTTTTGGTGGGGACAAATGTTTTAGTGACAACTGTCTAGATGGGGTATCCTCATCACTTTGGGGAGACTTCCTCTCACTTCCAGTTGAGTCTCCAAAACAGAAAGTGAAGGGAAATCTCCCTAGCAGAATACAGACAGCAAAACAATAACCTGTCAGAGGCTTTAACCTTTCCTTACTATATAAAACAATAAAATAAAATGTGTAGCTATACATACACTTGAATGCATTCCAGAAGAAGAATAAATAAGGAGAACGGAGTTTCCATAATGTGCCATACCAATGGTTTTCTCAACTTTGAAATCAAAATAATAATACTAAATGACAACAAATAGACCATAAAATTACTATATTCTAGTATAACCTTTTCTGTGTTATTAGCATTTCTTTTATTAAATGCATTCCAAAATCTGCTTTGATGCCAAAATATAAAACTTCTTTATTTGGCCACAATAAGGAGGAACACATCTGCAAAGAGGTCTCCATTTTCAACATCCGTGATACCAAACCTAAGAAATACTGTATTACAATATTGTTAATAATGTCCCTACCATGACATTTTTGAGTTTTACAGGATGATACTGGATATACTGGATAAATGTTCCAGAAACCATGCAAGAAACTCCCTCAATGGATTACTGGCTTCTTAAAAGTTTCACTTGACTTTCTTTCTGGTGTTGTTTTTTTCTTACCTGAGTTTTCCTGACACCATTATTGCCACGCGGTCGCACACAGCCTCAGCCTCCTCCATATAGTGTGTGGTCAGGATGGCGCCCCTTTCCCTGTTCTTGAAGGCGGCTCGGATGGCTCTCCTTAAATACACAAGAAAAGCCTAAGCTGTTGTACTTTTGTATATAAAGTGTAACGGGGTTCGCTCGGCAGCGGGTGTGTGTGACCCCCTGGATGGGTGCACACCACAAAAACACAGGCACAGCACAACAACCGTGGAGGTGAAAAACAAAAAGGTGCAGTTTATTTACAATATTTACAGGAAACCGTCAAACGAAAAAGAAACATCAAATCAAATCCTGGCCAACTTGGCTACTTACTGTACAAATGACTTCCCTAGCTATCCACTAGGTACAGCCTGATGCTTTACCTAGTCCCTGTTAGTTGGAGGCTTAGCCACACAGGCTTTTGTCTCACTGCACACAGATAGGATGCTGCTCCCCAGTCAGTTCAGGCACAGATCTGGCTCCAGGATGGAGCAACTCCCTAAGCAGGCTGGGAAGTTTTATAATGGCTTTACTGAGCCCACTACCTTCAGCTGGGCTCATTACCTCAGTGCTGCAGGACTCAGGACTTCCCCCTAGTGTAACAAATCCACAGAGTCTATACCTTGGACAAATGTATCGTCCATCCAGGACACAACCAGGTGATTTCACCTGCCTACTGTCACAAAAGCTCCAACTATAGTGCATGTGTTGTAGTATTTAAAACGTTACTAAACCCAGGACCCTGCAATCACTATATCTGGTCTCCTACAATACACACAACATGGAAATGCAATTATTTTAGTAAATATAAACTGCTAAATGCCTTTTCTCATCAGCAGTTAGAGCAGTCTTGTGACTTCAGCGGAGCACTGGTTAAAGCTTGTAGGAGGTGTTTTCCTCCTACTCTACCAGGATGTGAAACCCTTGACCCTCTGTTTGGACAATGCTGATTGGCCCTGTGCTGATTGCATGCAATCTCCCAAGAAAAATAAAACCTCTAGCAATATACACCAAACTGAGCATGTGCATGTGACTACGGATTCCGTCTGTATCAGGTGGTCATTTCAACAAGAGGAGGGGCAGAGAAGACAGGATCAAACAGCCTTTTTACACAATGCAGAGGATTAACCCCTTAGGTTCCACAGTGAGTATAACAAGCATGCTTTACTGCATATACAGACTGATTTTACTGTTGTGGGTTTAGTAACACTTTAAATCAATGCTGTAAATGGAGAAGACAGACGTGACTACAAGATCTCATTTCTTCTTCTCAGGTTGACATCAGAAGGTCATGTGGCACCAAAAAACCTCAATCAATACACTTGTGACTATGTGAGAACAAATACATCAACATGGATCAGGCTTGGCCTTGCTGTGTCCAGGGAAGAGTGCTGACACCATTAAGTCCCTGCATCAGGTTGCAGTAAAAAGCAGACAACCCCTTTAAAGCAGATCTTCACCCCCTGTTGCATCATGCTTCCCCTTCACCACTTTTTAAATGAATTTGTCTGGCCCTAACCCTCAGCCCCCCCCCCCCCCCCCCCCCCCCCCCCCCAAATGTCATTCGCCCAGGAGAATGACATGCCCTGTTTCATGAAAATCACATATACCAGTAGTCAAAGCATTTCACTAAATAAAAGAGGAGGGGTCGGCCTGGTGGGGCATCGTCAAGAGACTTGCCAGCGGAACCAGGAACAGCTAGCAGTCTCTCAATGACATCAGAGCAAAACATGGCAGCATGGGGCTGAGTGCTGTCAGAAAAGAGGAGAATCTCCACTGTACAGTGCAGGATCCGCTGGGTGGGTGAGTATCTAAAATGTGTCGATCTCACCACTATTAAGCTAAAGGTTAAAAAAAAAAAAGCGGAGATTGGAAGGATGAAAAATAGCTTTAAGGTATTAGCTTCTTGATCAACTTGAGACAAAACTCACCAAAGTCTTTGTTGTCCTTTTGGATCCAGACCAGTTGAAGGTTCATCCAGAAGAACAATGGTGGGATTACCCAACATACTGATGGCAAAACACACCTAAAGACACAACACAGATCTAAAAGGCCAATTCTGGCTTCTACTATGTTGGCTTAGACAATACAAAATTGGTAACATTATTGATACTTAACATTTACGATAACTGTATGAATTTGTGAGGAGATATGTGGTGGTTTCCTCACCAGGAATGCATTTGCAATTCTTTGGAACCTGACCATTCTAACTGATCATGCCACCAGAAGATAGCAAGTCTCAGTTACATTACATGTACAGAATAATTACAGATATTAGCAAAGGTGATAAAATGAATACATTTATGGGCATGCAGGATAATGATTGGTGACTTATAGACACCTACATTAACAGTTATCATAAAATTATTGATAAGCTCCTGGATTAGGAGTAGGAGAAAAGCCTTAGTTCTCTTCAATTTGACCTTTACAGCTCCAGCCACATTCAATGATTTTCAAAAGGAGAGAATTGACAGAGATTGGAAAAGCCAAGCCAATTATTTAAGACACAGAGCTCTATTCACAAAAGGAACTCGCATGCGGTATTTAGGTGTCCAGATACATTTTGCCTAAATACCGCACGTGACTCTAAAACTGACAATTCACTATACTGTTCCGCTCCTTTTCTTTAATTTTGGAGTGGGGTTACCCTTAAAATCCATACCAGACCCTAAAGGCCCTCACACTGTTTTTTTCCCGTACTTTTTAATTGCCAGCAAAATTTTGTTTACATTTAGCTGACGACTCATCGGTTGTTAAGGACGAGGCTGCCCATTCCTTAACAACCATGACAGTTACTGGTTGTTAAGGACAGCTCCTTAACCACTTGTATATAAATGGCCAGACGGTGGCAGTGCAGGGTCGGTTGGCCATTTATAAACGGCCTCACCACACCCTGCTTGTGCACGCTCCCTGGGAGTGCGCAGCACTGCGATCCGATGCTTGCTGTGTTCTCTGGACACAGTGGAACACCGATAGTCGGACGGGGCCTCTGTGCGAGGTCCCGATCATGTGATCACTGATTGGCCAATCAGTGATCACATGCAGAGTAGTAAGCAAGATGTCACTTCTGACATCATTGCTTACTACGTGTGAAATCTGTGAATGATCACAGAAGTCACATGGTACAAGGCTATTCACAACAGCCTTGTACCATGTGACAAGCTGTGACCAACCGCAGCTCACACAGTAGTTCTCAATGGCTGCAAGAATCCAGCTAGAGAGGAGAAATGATTGCTTTTACAGCCTTTATGGGTGTAAAAGCAATCAGTGTAAAAAAAAAAAAAAAAAAAAATCTTCATCACCCCCACAAGTAGTACATGGTGACCACTGTACTGCTAGGGTGACAGTATGTAAAAAAAAAAAACCATAAATAATATAAAAAAATTAAAGAAAATGTAAAAACAAATGTTTAAAAAATTATAATTTTTGGTTATACACTAATTTGGGTTATTTTTTTTTTACTAAAAAGATAAACGTCATACATTTACATAGCCAAAAAAATAAAAATCCCAGTGGTGAATAAATACCACCAAAATAAAGCTTTATCTGTCTCAAAAAATGCTAAAAAATGCATATGGGTACAGCGTTGCATGACCACGCAATTGTCATTCAAAGTGTGATAGCGCTGAAAGCTGAAAATTGGCCTGGACAGGAAGGGGGTAAAAGTGTCCAGACTGGAAGTGGTTAACAACGTGGTATTTACTACTGTTAATAAATATGCCGGCTACCGCCAGGCGGTACTTTGCCTCATGTTTTCACTATTAAAATACCGTATAACTTCGTAAAATAACTTATGCAATCTTAGCATTTTTAGTGAATGCTAAAAAACTTTTTAAGAAATGCTATGAGGTATTTTACCTCAAATTTTAAAGAAAAAATACTGCTTTGTGAAGGGAGCCCACGGTGAAGTTTGGATCTCTGAGAGTATGGTCCTAGCTAGATCTGCAGATCCTTTCAGATATCCTGAATTTCTGAGCACATCTACTCAATTGAGCATGCTGACATCATAGGAAGGAAAACAACGCACCTTTCTGGAGACCCCGGCTGACAACTTCCTGGCAGGTTTGTTCAGATGGTCCTTCATCTCCAGAGCATCACTCACCCTGCAGGCCAAAGTATGGGGACATAATGAGAGGAACACTCTAGTTAGGATTAATTAACCTGTGACTTTTATTAAGATGTAGAGAGAGAGGAAATTACTTTAACGTGAAGCTTGTACACAGATGGCTTGTCCTGTTTTCTACCACAACCTAAAAAGCATAATGGTGAAGCCACTACAACAATAGGTGGGAATATCAAGGCCAAACAATATGGAGGAGAGCAGAGGAAGCAGAGCCAGACAGTTACTGGTCTGCATATTGAGGAAGATTTGGAGTAATAATTAACTTACCGTTTGACAGCACGGTCTGCGTCTTCTTTATTCATGCCCTTGACAGCGGCGTAGATCTCCGTAGATGTTCCTTTACGGTGAGATGTTCCTTTACGGTGAGGTTGGGCCACAGGGGGTTGTGTTGGGGGCAGTAGCCCAGCGCTGCAGAGTCTTCAGTCCTATGGGGGTCTACTGTATTGCCCAGCACCACCTGTAGGAGCAGTCAAGAAGGTGGTTTAAAAGAATGCCAAGCTGGACATTTTCTCAAGACCACCCAGGAATCAGGAGCATCATAAAACTGGGAAGGAAATGTGATTAGGTGAATCTCATTTGTGCAACCTGCCATCTACAGTACAAGGGGTCATTAACCTTTTTATGAAAGGAGTATTTAAATTACAGGGGTTCTCAGATGTTTTAATTGTTTTCTTGCCTCTAGATGCATTGGTAACACTCAGTAATGTTCTGTTGATTGCTTTTTAGTGGTGAATTATTTTCTAGGAAACCTTTTGCCTTAGTCTCACCATAACCATAGTGAGGCAAGATGTTCTTCAAGCACCCCTATACATGAGCTCTGAAGTCTTCCACATTTTACCTCTTTCAGGCTCACCTGTCCAGCAGATGGCTTCATCTCCCCTGCCAGAATCAGCACAGATGTGGTCTTCCCGGCTCCATTGGGGCCCAGAAGTCCCAGGACTTCACCTTCAAATGAGGAAAACAGATACAAATGATACATTGATTTTTATAAATCTCTTAAAGAAGGACTGACTGTTTTTCTCATAGCAACCAATCAGACTCATGCTGCCCTGGAAAAAATGGGGTTAAAGTTCCTCAGTTATTCTAAACTTAAATCTGAAACATGTTGTGATGTTTAAACTTGGAAAACGATAACAGATCCTTTACATCTGACAAGCAGATCTGTCTATCATGTGATCCCTCTTCTGCTTTCAGGGTAAATAAAATGGGGTCATAGAGGTTGTTGTGAACATTTCCAACCACACATTTGTTCTTTCCTTCCTCACATCCTCTGGCCAATGTCATTAAAAGAAACAGAAATGAACAGGAACTGACCTTTCTTGACACAGAATGAGGTGTGACTGATGGCTGTTCTCTTCTTCCGGAAGAGTCTGCAGATGCCTGACTTCTCATTAAACTCTTTTCGCAAACTGTCCACAAGGATGGTTGGCCTCTTTAAGAGTAACAACACACATTAAATAAGTAATTTAATTTTGAAGTTCATCTGATTGTCGTGACATTTGTTGTTGATACAAAATGTCAAAAATGGGCCAATACAAGAAGAATGACTGCTACAAAGTTGCCAAAATATGTAACATCTGTTAATATTATTTCCTGCAGAAATAAACTTTTTGGTCAAGCTAGAGCAGCCATTTTCAACCTGGGTTCCTCAGAGGTTGTTAAGGGTTCTTTGAGCTGTGACTAATTGACCTCACATTTGATGGTGCCTGCATGATTCTGGGACTGATATTGCTTGGCAAAACCAACACTGAATTTCTTCCAACTGATCCCAGATTAATTCATTTTATCAGGGGTTCCCTGAGACCTGGAAATTCATGTGAAGGTTCCTGTGTAGTAGAAAGGCTGGTCATAGAGTGCCCTTTGTAGATTTCCCCCTACATCAACACAGCACTAACAGACAGGGTATTCTGTATAATCTGACAAAGAAATGACCAGAGACTGACTACAGTCATTCATTCACCACCTCCTCTCTGGTCAGACAGCAGGACAGCCATCCACACTACCAGCCTGATTCAAAGTTTCAGATTTTGTGCAGGGCAAGATGTGAAATTTTATATACAGGAGTGTGATGTACAAGGGATGTTCAAGTCAAACAGGTAAAAAAGGGATGCTAGTGTGGTGGTACTACATACATTAGGAAGTGGAAGGTGTGTCTTATTGCTAATAGGCAGCGCACGTGTCGCAGGCCAGTCCAGAGACCATTAATCAAGATGGCAGACAACCAGGCCAGGGCTGGGACAAAAAATAGACCCGGGCATTTTAGACTGAGCAGCCAATTTCCGGGGAGGCGGGTGCAAGGGCATTCGCGGGGGCAGTTGGTGACGGAATATTCACGGAGTCGGTCCTCCACACTGTAACATAAAAGGGGCACTGTGATATAAAGGGGACTGCACTGTATTGATTACAGTGCCCCTTTACAGCGCAGTCCCCTTTATATGATGCAATGCGTAAGGGGCGTGGCTTTGGGAAGACGAGAATCGATAAAAATCTATTACCTCCACTACTCTTAAAGAGTCCGATCCCTAGCCCTGGATTGGCACACTATTGAAAATCCAAAAGTGTCTAACTACCACCAAATGGCTGTTGATTGGAAAAGTGAAGAATGTGATACCAATTTGATATTACAAAACTCACTTTCATTGCTCTGAGGTGAGAGTTCTGTGAGCACTGAGGTGACACAAGCCACGTGATATATGTTACTTCACTTGATGGTGTTTGGGATATTAGCACATGAAGAAAACACAGGAATAATTGGAAAAGCTTTATTGATTGTTATTGATTATTTCATTTGTATGGACATTTGAATTAAGGAATATTATTTTCTTTGTTTTGTTATGTTCATTTATTTAGCAGCGCAGCATCACTTGCTTATATACAGTGAGGAACAGAAGTATTTGAACTCCCTGCGATTTTGCAAGTTTTCCCACTTAGAAATCATGGAGGGGTCTAAAATTCACATTGTAGGTGCATTCCCACTCTGAGAGACAGAATTTAAAAAAAAAAATCAGGAAATCACATTGTATGATTATTAAAGAATTTATTTGTCTTGCACTGCTGAACATACAGTAAGTATTTGAACACCTAAGAAACAGCAAGAATTTTGGCTCTCAAAGACCTGTTACTGTGCCTTTAAAAAGTCCACCTCTACTCCACTCATTAATCTAACTTAGTAGCACCTGTCTGAGCTCTTTAAAGACACCTGTCCACCCCACAGTCAGTCAGACACCAACTACTACCATGGGCAAGACCAAAGAGCTGTCAAAAGACACCAGAGACAAAATTGTGGACCTCCACAAGGCTGGAAAGGGCTACGGGGCAATTGCCAAGCAACTTGGTGAAAATAGATCAACTATTGGAGCAATTGTTAGAAAATGGAAGAGGCTAAAGATGACTGTCAGTCTCCCTCGGACTGGGGCTCCATGCAAGATCTCACCTCGTGGGATATCACTGATGATAAGAAAGGTGAGGAATCAGCCCAGAACTACAAGGGAGAAGCTGGTCAATGACATGAAGAGAGCTGGGACCACAGTTTCAAAGGTCACTGTCGGTAGAACACTACGCCGTCATGGTTTCAAATCATGCATTGCACGGAAGGTTCCCCTGCTCAAGTCATCACATGTCCAGGCCCGTCTAACGTTTGCCAATGACCGTCTGGATGATCCAGAGGAGGCATGGGAGAAAGTCATGTGGTCAGATGAGACCAAAGTAGAACTTTTTGGTCTAAACTTCACTCGTCGTGTTTGGAGGAAAAAGAAGGATGAGTTGCATCCCAAGAACACCATCCCTACTGTGAAGCATGGGGGTGCTAACATCATGCTTTGGGGGTGCTTTTCTGCGAAGGGGACAGGACGACTACACTGTATTAAGGAAAGGATGAATGGGACCATTTATTGTGAGATTTTGAGCAACTTCCCTCAGTCAGAGCATTGAAGATGGGTTGTGGCTGGGTCTTCCAACATGACAATGACCTGAAGCACACAGCCAGGTTAACCAAGGAGTGGCTCCGTAAGAAGCATATCAAGGTTCTGGAGTGGCCTAGCCAGTCTCCAGACCTAAATCCAATAAAACATCTTTGGAGGGAGCTGAAACTCCGTGTTGCTCAGCGACAGCCCCAAAACCTGACAGATCTAGAGGAGATCTGTGTGGAGGAGTAGGCCAAAATCCCTGTTGCAGTGTGTGCAAACCTGGTCAAGAACTACAGGAAATGTTTGACCTCTGTAATTGCAAATAAGAGCTTCTGTACCAAATATTACCACTGATTTTCTCAGGTGTTCAAATACTTCTGTTCAGCAGTGCAAGACAAATACATTCTTTAAAAATCATACAATGTGATTTCCTGAATTTTTTTTTAATTCTGTCTCTCAGAGTGGGAATGCACCTACAATGTGAATTTCAGACCCCTCCATGATTTCTAAGTGGGAGAACTTGCAAAATCGCAGGGTGTTCAAATATGTCTGCTCCTCGCTGTATATAGTTTACATCTGATTGTGGGAACACAATTTAATGATAGCAGCAGCTATATTGTTATACACCATTTCTATTTTTGTTTTTAATTTTTAATTTACTTCAGTTACCCACTCTTATAGGTAGTGCAGGCGTTTCTGTCTCATTCACCACTGCATATACATATGTTACCTCCTCCTCCTGATCTGTTGTCTTCAAAGTGTTAACCCTTTCTTTCTCAGCAAGGACCTCCTCATCAGCATTATCCAGCTGCTCAGGATTCTGGGTAAATGGATGTTCTCTCTTCATGAATCTGAATGAAGAGAGGAAAGTGTCAGAATCATAAGGGTAGATTTACTAAAACTGGTCCACTCAGAATCTGGTGCAGCTGTGCATAGTAGCCAATCAGCATCCAACTTCAGCTTGTTCAATTAGGCCTTCACACTAAAACCTGGAAGCTGATTGGTTTCTTTGCAGAGTTGCACCACATTGTCCACGTTTCAGTCTTGGTAAATAACCCCCAGAGTGGGCTGTTCTAGCAGTAATTCATCTATTCCCCTATATAAAAATTAAAAGAAAGAATGTACACTAGCTAATAATGTTATGTTGTAAACGGCATATGAAACATATACAAAATACAAGTGAGTTGTATCAGAAATAGACAAAAGTACATGCTAGGTAGAGTAAATCACTTACAATATTACAATATGTCAGTAAAATGTAGTTTACAGGTGAATGGTTATTTTTAACTCCCCTGGCGGTATTCCCGAGTGTAGCTCGGGGTAAAGTTTTAGCACCACAAGCGGTAACCCCGAGCTACACTTGGGAATACCTTGCAGCGTTGCTCCGGGATCTCTTTTTCACTTACCTTGTCCTTCGCTCCCGCGATGTCCCCCCTTCAGTGTCCCCTGCAATGTCCTCCGGCGGATGCCCTTCTGGGTTCCGTTCCCTGCGACGTCAGGACGTACGAGGGAAGGAACTGGTGGGAAATTTGAAAGTTGTAAAAGTGCCATTCACTAAAATCGCATAGTAAAACATTACTGTATCAAACCATTTCACATACATTTTGTCCCTAGTGCTTTGTCCTGTGCCCTGCCTGCATTTTTACTGTTCTGTCTGGAAACTGAGAAATGTCCATGGCGTCCAAAAAGCGTCCCTTTAGGTCAAAATCGGTTTTAGACCAGCTAGAGAACAGCGATAGTAAATTAGAACTACTTGCAGAATTGAGTGATAATGATTCGTGGGGAAATTCGTCATCAGACACTGAAAACGATTTTGCGACTTTGCCCAGTGATGTGGCGCTATATTTCAAATTTTCAGTGTTTTTGGCTTGATTATATTATTTAATTACATTTATTATTATTATATTTTTTTTTTTAATGATTATTTATTAAACTTTAATTTATGATTTCGTCTTTCAAATTTTAACATAACCGGGATGTTTACTAGACTCTTGTTCAGACAGATTTCAGTGAGATATTCCTAAAAATTACAGGCCTACAATAACAAAAATACGTATTTCCATGCAAAAAAAATTTACCGCTTTGAGCACAGAAATATGGACATAATCAGACCGCTAGGGAGGCTAACAAATGGCAGAATACAAAGTCTACATACTACACACAGGCCAAGTACTATGACACAGACTACACTCAACATTTGGGGCCTAGACTAATGTCTTCATGCAGTAGAGAACAGGACACCTTTGGCTTGGAGGGAAAACTCAGTATAATGGCCCCTTCTTGGTAGTGTTGGATTTCTGTAGGCTAAAGAAAGTGAATACCATGCAAAATGTGCCACAGTGCCACAGTGACTGGTGGGCATGGTGAGAGGTGGATGTTTCTAAAGAATGTGTTTTTTTTCTGATACACTTTTTCACATCTTTCAGCATTTGCTCCCATTGTAGCTAGCTATTGGCATTTGGCCTCATAAACGAAAATTGGATCTGGAAGACTTTCCTCTGCCAAGAGTGGCAATCCCAGGTGTGAACGAAGAGCAGGTAGCTATATTACAGAGTTGAACATGAAATTTGGATTAACTTAGATTCTGATCAAATGTTTTGAATTTGGGGTCCAGAGTGACATATAAATTATTTTTGAGGGTTTGGATTCCCAAAGGGCTTCTGGGGGAAAGAGGCCAAAGGCTGCTCCAAAGGCTGTTTCTATGTCTGCTTCTGCTATTGCCTGACCTCCCTTAGCTTGCCTGCCATCAGTTCAATTTTCCAAGCTATTCAGCCCTATTTTTTGTAATTTGCTGCTCTGTGATACCCACTGTCTTGGAGCATGGTTCAGATTACCTTCAACTTTTAAAGGACTTTGGGTTTGCAATTTCCCAATTTTGATGCATGAATTTTTTAAAGGTTTGGCTGAACCACAACTAATCAAACTTTTCCGAAGTTTGCTCATCTCCAGTACCCAGCATGTATCACTAACTGCTGGTCCCAATGTCTGAATGGTGAAGCATCTCCACTTGGGGCCACCAGCCCAACATATACATTGTATTACTAGTTCTGGCCCAGGAAAGTAAATGTCTGACATTTTCAAAACCAAGAGGTGAGTCCACATTGAGATCAGCACCCACTTGTGGACTGTTTACTGTGAGTTTTGCTTTATATTTGTTCAACTAGGTGGTTATAGCCCCAATCATATCTATATAAATAGCTAAATGATTGCCACTGTGATGCAAATTGTTCACTAACCCACCTGAATACTGGATCTTGTTTTAAACTTCCGGTTCCAATCCACCATTCCAAAAACCATAGGAGGCCCCAGAATATAATAGTGTGTGCATACGGCTGAAGAGGAAGCAGAGAAAATCAGAAGCCTGACTTCTGTGAAGAAGTGGAAATTGTCACAATTCGAACACATGACATTGCTGATTTGTGGTCCTCTATGCATTTCAGTTCTTAAACCTGTACACCCCCTATGGCACAAAATAATCTAGAGTGGGTGACTGGGGACAAAGAGAAGGCAAATTTATTTAATATCTTCTTCAGCTCTGTGTATACAAAGGAGCATGGGGCAGCTCTTGTCCATAATGGGATGGTATTGACACAGCTCCAGATGATCCACATTAGCTCACAATTGATATGATCCAAAAATATTTAGACAGTATAAAGGTGAATAAAGCACCTGGACCGGATGGCATACACCCATCCTTAAAGAATTGAGCTCTGTCATTTCAAAGCCATTGGTTCTAATTTTTAGGGACTCTTTAATGACTGGCATAGTATCACTGGATTGGCGTAAGGCCAATGTGGTGCCAATATTTAAAAAGGGGACAAAATCTTTACCAAGTAATTATAGACCTTTTAGTTTAACGTCCATAGTTGGGAAGATACTGGAGAGTTTAATAAAAGACGACATAGATGAGTTCTTGCTGGAAAAAAATATTTTAAGCAACAGACAGCATGGATTCATGAAAGACAGAAGTTGTCAAACAAATCTGATTTCTCTTTATGAGCAGGTGAGCAAAACCTTGGACAGAGGGGTGGCGGTGGACGTGGTATACTTGGATTTTGCAAAAGCGTTTGGCACAGTTCCCCACACACGGCTAATGTGTAAGGTAAAGTCTACGGGCTTGGAAAAATCTGTATGTAAATGGATAGAAAACTGGGTAAAAGATCGTATTCAAAGAGTAGTGGTTAATGATTCATACTCTGAATGGTCTAGGGTTGTCAGTAGTGTGCCCCAAGGTTCAGTGTTGGGACCCTTACTTTTTAATATAGTTATAAACAATATAGGGTCTGAGATTAAGAATCCCATTTCAGTCTTTGCAGATGACACCAAGCTGTGCAGTGGAATAATGTCCTTACAGGATGTCTTCAACTTACAAGCCGACCTCAATGCACTGTTTAATTGGGCAACTATGTGGCAAATGAGGTTTAATGTTGATAAATGTAAGGTTATGCACTTGAGGGCTAACAATATGCATGCATCATACATACTGGGGGGGGACCACTGGGGGAATCAATGGTGGAGAAGGATCTGGGAGTTCTGGTAGATCACAAGCTTAATAATGGCATGCAATGCCAAGCTGCAGTTTCTAAAGCGAGCAAAATCATCTCTTGTAGTAAAAGAGGTATAGACTCCAGAGAGAGAGAGATATCATATTACCCCTGTACAAATCATTAGTGAGACCTCATCTGGAATATGCGGTTCAGTTTTGGGTCCCAATTCACAAAAAGAACATTGGGGAACTGGAGACAGTACAGAGAAGGGCACAAAACTGATACAAGGCATGGAGGAGCTCCGCTATGAGGAAAGATTAGAGGAACTGGATTTATTGTCTCTTGAGAAGAGGAGATTAAGGGGGGATATGATCAACATAAATATAAATAAATATGTATAAATACATCAGTGGTTCATATAGTGAACTCGGTGTAGAGCTATTCACCCTGAGGTCATCACAGTGGACAAGGGGGCACTCTTTATGTCTGGAGGAAAAGAAATTTAATCTCCAAACACGGAAAGGTTTCTTCACAGTGAGAGCTGTGAAAATGTGGAATAAACTCCCTCAAGAGTTGGTTCTGGCCAGCTCAGTGGATTGCTTCAAAAAAGGCCTAGATTCTTTCTTAGATACACAGAATATAACTGGATACTAACATTTATAGGTAAAATTGATCCAGGGAATATCCGATTGTCTCTCGGGGGATCAGGAAGGAATATTCTTTCCCAGCAGGAGAAAATTGGATCATGCTTTGCTGGGTTGTTTTTTGCCTTCCTTTGGATCAACTATGGGTATAGGATTATAACTTTTTTTTTTATGGTTGAACTGGATGGAGTTTTGTCTTTTTTCAGCCAGACTATGTAACTATGTAACTATGAACAGAGCAATTTTAAATGTTCCACTATGGACATGTTAATTTAGCAAGAACTGTGTCATTTTTTTAGGTTAAAAAAGTACTTCAATACATACATTAATTTGGGTGAAAAAATGTCTCTCTTTTGGAATTATTGTCTTGCAAAAATCATTTTAATTTCTATGCCATCTATAAAGTAGTATTCACAAGTGTTAATTTAAAAAACAAATTACTGTAAAAAAGTTCAAATTGTAATCTATAATCTGTCATGTTTAGAGTGACTCTAAAATTATGTTTCTGGCACAAAAGCATGACAAAGTAACTGCAAAATGAAAAAGAACATTTTTTTTAAATTTTGTGCATTTTTATACAACACTGAAATAAATAAATGAATTATAATGATTGGTTGTAAAAAAAAAACCTAGAGATTAAAAAAAATCCACAGAAAAAAAAAAACAACTAAAAGGGAGAATGAGAGAGAGTAGTACATTATGACTAACTAGGATTAAGTAAGAGTTAACAAGGGGTTACATTGGAATACATTTTATTAAAAGAATAATTTAGTTTTACTTTACGTAAGGTTATCTAAACTTATTTCAAATGCAGATCAAAATCCACACCTTTTGTCTACATATGAATAAATACAAGTACATACTGTATACTGTATGTAGTAACTAAATACGTAAATGCAATGTAACATTGTTACATTATATTACTCAATGACACTTGCAGACTATCTGCATGGGTCACTTTACACAGCATTCAGAAACTGGCACCAATGCTAGCTGGGAGTTATTGTTGTAGAAACCGGCACCAATATTAGGGATTATTTTTTCAGAAACTGACACCAATATTGGGGTTATTATTGCGGAAACTGACACCAATGCTGAAAGGGTTTGTAGTTAACTAACTTTTGCTTTGTGCCTACTAACTGGTTTATTTTATATACAAGATGTTCCCGTGGGATTTGAATGCTGTTATCTATGCACATATTTCTTGTTTTGAGAAATTGCAGAAGTTACTACCCTGTTGCATTTTTGTTATGTCACACCATTTAGTGGTTTACTGAAATTTCTATTCTGTATTCTGATTGGTGCTTTATGGAAACCGCCTGACATATGCAATGTTATCATTTATTACTTAAAGCTTGATCAATAAAAAAGAAGTCAAATTTTGCATCACACATCTAGGTATCTGATTTGCATTATTCCCAAAGTACTTTGAAACTGGATGTTTGCATGGAGATGGCCAGCATAGATTCATATTCCTAACAAATGCTGCTCTTGACACCAATTTGGGGGGTTATTATTGCTGTAATTGGCTCCAATGCTGGGGATTTTTATTGCAGAAATTGACAATTCTTGGAGTTATTATTGTTGCTACTGAACCAATCATGGGGCTTTGATTGTGGAACCTGACACTAATGTTGGGGGATATTATCACAGAAACTGACACCAATTCTGGGGGTTATTATTGCAGAAATTAGCACTAATGCTGGCGGTTATTATTGCAGAAACTGGCACCAATATTGGGGGGTTATTATTGCGGAAACTGACACCAGTGCTGGGGGTTCTTATTGCTTCTATTGACACCAATTTTGGGAGTTATTATTGCAGAAACTGGCTCCAGTGTTGGGGATTTTTATTGCAGAAACTGACTCCTATTCTGTGGGTTATTATTGCAGAAACTGGCACCAATACTGGGTGTTATTATTGCTGCTACTGACACCAAATCTGGGGCTTTTATTGTGGAAGCTGACACTAATGCTGGGGGTTATTATTGCAGAAACTGTCACCAATGTTGGGGGCTATATTTTCGTTTACTGACACCAGTGCTGGTGATTATTGCATTCACTGACATCAACGTTGGGGATTATTTTTGCAAAAATTGACACCAATTTTGGGGGGTTAATATTGCAGAAACTGGCACCAACACAGGAGTTATTATTGCTGCTACTGACAACAATGCTGGAAGTTATTTTTGCAGAAACTGACACCAATATAGGTGTTATTATTGCAGAAACTGGCACCAATGTTAGGGGTTATTATTGCTGCTAATAACACCAATGTTGGGGGTTATTATTGCTGCTACTGATACCAATATTGAGGGTTATTATTAAAGAAACTGGCAACAATGCTGGGGATTATTGCGGCAAACTAACAGGAATGCTGGGGGTTGTTAATTCAGAAGCTGGCACCAATGCTAAGGGTTATTATTGCGTTCACTAATACAATGCTGGGGTTATTATTGCGCGTACTGGCATCAATGCTTGGGGTTATAAAGGCAGGAACTGACACTAATGTTGGGTCCTAATGCATTCACTGACACCAATGCTGGGAATTATTATTGCGTACAAGGCACCTATTGAGGGTTATTATTGTGTTAACTGATACCAGTTCTGGGGGTTATTATTGCATTCACTGACACTAATACATTAATGCGAAAACTGGCAACAATGCTTTGAGTTATTGCAGAAGCTGACAGCAATGTTGGGGATTATTACTGCGTTCAATGACACCAATGGTGCGTAGAATGCCTCTGGTCTATCTAAGCTTCATAAGGTGTTTTCATTTTGATCGGAGCATTCCTTTACTTACAATCACCAAGTGGCCACACACAGTTGGCAGAAAAGAGTCATAAGATTCATGAAGGTAAACCTAGGAAGAGAATATCATATCATTGCATTATACAAGATCTCCAATGTCATTACTATACTAGAGTACACCAAAAGAAACAAGTCACCCAATCAGAAACCTTGGTTAAAGTGGGTCTCTAACCAAAAATGTTTAACGGGGAATTTTAAGAAACACTATCAAGTTTTCTTTATATCCCTGTCAGGGAGTTTCACCCTCTCTATTTGTCCTGGTGACCACTGTCACTGAGAAAGGAAGTAATAGGAAATTCAACATTTTTACTTGTCACCACAAAAGGGACCATCCATTGGATGTCCATCAAAACTGCATGTAAATTCATTCTATACAAATCATATTTCCATCTATGTTCTCTGCAATTCAAATGTGTGGATGCTGAAATACCACTAGGTGATGCTGAGAAGCAAACTTATTTCCTATTATAGTCAGTGTGGTTTAGTGGTTTTAATTCAGTATGATCACTAGATAGGGCTGACTATAATAAGAAGTAAATATGCTCCTGATCACCATCTAGTGGCCCTAATGCAGTATGTCCCCACAAAACAATCATATAAATACACTGCTCAAAAAAATGAAAGAAACACTTTTTAATCAGAGTATAGCATCAAGTCAATTAAACTCCTGGAATATTGATCTAGTCAGTTAAGTAGCAGATGGGATTGTTAATCAGTTTCAGCTGCTTTGGTGTTAATGAAATAACAACAGGTGCACTAGATGGGCAACAATGAGACAACGCCCAAAACAGGAATGGTTTTACAGGTGAAGGCCACTGACATTTTCTGTCCCTACTCATCTTTTCTGACTGTTTTTCACTAAATTTGCATTTGGCTAGGGTCAGTGTCACTACTTATAGCTTGAGGTGATACCTGGATCCTACAGAGGTTGCACAGGTTGTCCAACTCCTCCAGGATGGCACATCAATACGTGCCATTGCCAGAAAGTTTACTGTGTCTCCCAGCACAGTCTCAAGAGCATGGAGGAGATTCCAGGAGACAGGCAGTTACTCAAGCAGAGTTGGACAGGGTCGTAGAAGGTCCTTAACCCATCAGCAGGACCGGTATCTGCTCCTTTGTGCAAGGAGGAACAGGATGAGCACTGTCAGAGCCCTACAAAATGACCTCCAGCAGGTCACTGGTGTGACTGTCTACGACCAAACAATCAGAAACAGACTTCAGGCCTGAGGGCCCGATGTCCTCTAGTCTGACCTGTGCTCACTGCCCAGCACCACAGAATCAGCATTTGCCATCGAACACCAGAATTGGCAGGTCCGCCACTGGTGCCCTGTGCTTTTCACAGATGAGAGCAGGTTCACACTGCGCACATGTGACTGATGTGAAAGAGTCTGGAGAAGACGTGGAGAACGTTATGCTGCCTGTAACATTGTTCAGCATGACTGTTTTGGTGGTGTGTCAGTGATGGTCTGGGGAGGCATCTCCATGGAGGGACGCACAGACCTCTACAGGATAGACAATGGCACCCTGAGTGCTAATAGGTATCGGGATGAAATCCTTGGACCCATTGTGAGACCCTACACTGGTGCAGTGGGTCCCAGGTTCCTCCTGGTACACGACAATGCTCAGCTTCATGTGGCGAGAGTATGCAGGCAGTTCCTGGAGGATGAAGGAATTGATGCCATTAAATGGCACCCATGCTCGCCTCACCTAAATCCAATAAAACACTTCTGGGATATCATGTTTTGGTCCATCTGACGCCGCCAGACTGTCCAGGAGCTCAGTGATGCCCTGGTCCAGATCTGGGAGGGAATACACAAAGACACCATCTGTCGTCTCATTAGGAGCATGCCTTGATGTTGTCAGGCATGCATACAAGCATGTGGGGGGCATACAAACTACTGAGTACCATTTTGAGTTGCTGCAATGAAATTTCAGCAAAATAGACTAGTCTGCTGCATAATTTTTTCACTTTGATTTTCGGGGTGTCTTTGAATTCAGTCCTCTGTAGGTTGATCATTTTCATTTCCATCAAACAATGGGGCATCCTTACATTCCTAACACATTACCCAGTCCATATCAGTATAGATATCCAGCATTATATTTTTCCCCATTGAGATCTGAAGAACTCCCTGAAAATAAGTATATATAAAGTCCAACACAGGTGAAAAGTAAATAAATCAAATCCCCAAAAACCTCCTAATCTTTATAACAACCATGTAGAGTCATATTAGTTATAAATGTAGAAGTAAAAAACACTTAACCAAATAAATAATATATTGTAAAATAATAAAGTAAACACCCAGCTGAGCAGCACCCTAAATAGTGACACTAATGAATATATGACGTGAATATATCAAAGTGCACATGTATAAACATAATACAAAAAATTTTAAATAATAATTCCTTTAAACACCCGGCTGAGTGCCACCCTAGACAGCAAAATTCCTAAATAATTTTTAGTAAACACCTGGCTGAGCACCAAACCGCAACCAAGTGATGTTAGTAAATGGGTATTGTAGGTGCAATAAAGTCCCAATATATATTCAAAATAATAAAGTTCAAACTGGTGAATTTATATAACGATCAGAAGATTTTGGTTTTGTTTGAACATTATTATAATTTTGAATACATATTATTATTGTACTCAATACCCATTTACTACATGACTTGGTTGTGGTGTGGTGCTCAGCTGGGTGTTTACTAAGAATATTTATGTATTTTATTATTTTTTGAAAATGATTATGTTCACACATGTGCACTTTTTTTATTCACATTGCATATTTATAAGTGTCACCATTTAGGGTGGTGCTCAGCCAAGTGTTCACTGGAATTATTAATTTTATTGTTATGAAGATTAACAGGTTCTTTGGGATCTGATTTATTTACTTTTCACCTGTATTGGCATTTGAATATACTTGTGTTGAGGGAATACCGCAGCACCAAGTTATATATTTATTTGATTGTTTTGTGGGAACGCATTTGGGTGTTTGCAGCAGCTCACAATAATTTTCTTTAGTTGATCTTACATAATGCAGTATGGCTACTAAATAGCGCTGACTATCATAAAAAATAATCATCACTTTCTCTAGTGGCCATAATACAGTATTTTCCCTATTTATACATTCGATCTGCATAGAATATAGCATGGAAACTCAATTTGAGCGAATTTGAATTACATTTTGATGGACGAATAGCTTTGCAAATTTTCATATACCGGTAAATGCACCCTCTTAAGTTTAGACCTTCTCAAAGAACCTGCCTGCTCTGAGTTATGAGATATGGTTTCCTTGGAACACCAGCCCTAATTACTTTTCTGTATGTAAAGAAGACAGCTTTTTTTTTCTTTTCTTTAATTTTGCTGGCACATCAATTGAATGACATGTTTTACTGTAATAATGTGTGAGATAGAAGGCCCACAAACCAAAACTCACCATTCCAATCAAAAACGCCATCAAATTGCTGGGCGGCACTAAGATTAAGTAGATGAAACATAATTCTTCTGGCAAGGCAATGAAGATTTGAAACGCACTGAATATTGGCGGGACGAGGGAGGACTGCAAGAGACGAGAAATCCAGATAACCTGACGCCAGAAATTCGGCCACAATAATATCAAAAAGCAACAGGGGACAAACCTAGGATCATGGTTTTCCTTTTAGATAGAGATAAAAGACACAGTGTAAAATAAATAAATTTTATATATATATATATATACTGTATATATATATATATATATATATATATACACACACACACACTGTGTGTGTATGTATATATATATATATATATAATATTATTTAATATAGCGTATTACTATTTAATTGCTTTACAACCTTGGAAGAACAAGTCCACGCAATTACCACCAGCATGAAAGAAGTTTTGCTATATTCCACGTTTCTTAGATCCAATATGGCGATGCACTTTGTTGAATCTGTCACACTAATACCGACAGACAATAAAATTGTGGATTTTGTAAAAAACTTGTTAGTATTTCTAATTAAAGTGTTGCACGGCTTTTGTGAATTTGTTTCACGGCTTATGACAGCAACCACACCATCGGTGCCAGGAGTGCCTCAAATCTCATTCACATTGTAGCTATATTCTCAAGAGCGCTCAAAATCATGCACAGCTGTGCATGGTAACCAATCAGCTTCTAACTTCAGCTTGTTCAATTAGACTTTAGCAATAAAACCTGGAAGCTGATTGGTTTCTATGCAGAGCTGCATTTGATTTTGCACTCTCCAGTTTTAGTAAATTTCCCCCAATATATCTTCTACTTGCCGTCTACTTTAACCCCAAGAATGCCAAACCACTTCGCCTTTACTAAATGCATTGTCCACAGTTGCAGGGCAGCTACGGCATGGCCCCATTCACTTGATCGTTCTGAGCAGCTGCACTGCTTCATTTAGGGTGGGTGGTCAGGGTGTGGTTAAACCATTGCTCAACTGCCTGCTTTTACCACCTAATTTTCCCCTGGCTTCCAGTGTAAATGAGCCCCATGTACTGTATATCACAGAAGTGAATACATCCCTTACATTTTTGTAAATATTTTATTCTATCTTTTTATGTGACAACACTGAAGAAATAACACTTTTCTGCAATGTAAAGTAGTGAGTGTACAGCTTGTATAACAATGTAAATTTGCTGTCCCCTCAAAATAACTCAACACACAACCATTAATGTCTAAATCGCTGGCAACAAAATTGAGTACACCCCTAAGTGAAAATGTCCAAATTGGGCCCAAAGTGTCAATATTTTGTGCAGCCATCATTATTTTCCAGCACTGCCTTAACCCTCTTGGGCATGGAGTTCACCAGAGCTTCACAGGTTGCCACTGGAGTCCTCTTCCACTTCCATGACAACATCACAAAGCTGGTGAATGTTAGAGGCCTTGCGCTCCTCCACCTTCCATTTGGGGATGCCCCACAGATGCTGAATAGGGTTTAGGTCTGGAGACATGCTTGGCCAGTCCATCACTTTTACCCTCAGCTTCTTTAGCAAGGCAGTGATCATCTTTGAGGTGTGTTTGGGGTTGTTATGTTGGAATACTGCCCTGCAGCCCAGTCTCCGAAGGGAGGGGATCATGCTCTGCTTCAGTATGTCACAGTACATGTTGGCATTCATGGTTCTCTCAATGAACTGTAGCTCCCCAGTGCTTGGAGCTCTCATGAAGCCCCAGACCATGCCACTCCCACCACCATGCTTGACTGTAGGCAAGACACACTTGTCTTTGTACTCCTCACCTGGCTGCTGCCACACACGCTTGACACCATCTGAACCAAATCAGTTTATCTTGGTCTCATCAGACCACAGGACATGGTTCCAGTAATCCATGTCCTTAGTCTGCTTATCTTCAGCAAACTGTTTGCAAGCTTTCTTGTGCATCATCTATAGAAGAGGCTTCCTTCTGGGACGAGAGCCATGCAGACCAATTTGATGCAGTGTGCGGTGTATGGTCTGAGCACTGACAGACTGACCCCCCACCCCTTCAACTTCTGCAGCAATGCTGGCAGCACTCATACGTCTATTTCCCAAAGACAACCTCTGGATATGACGCAGAGCACATGCACACAACGTCTTTGGTTGACCATGGCGAAGCGTTTTCTGAGTGGAACCTGTCCTGTTAAACCGCTGTATGATCTTGACCACCGTGCTGAAGCTCAGTTTCAGGGTCTTGGTAATCTTCTTATAGCCTAGGCCATCTTTGTAGAGCAACAATACTTTTTTTCAGATCATCAGAGTTCTTTGCCATGAGGTGCCATGTTGAACTTCCAGTGACCAGTGTGAGAGAGTGAGAGCGATAACACCAAATTTAACACACCTGCTCCCCATTCACACATGAGATCTTGTAACACTAATGAATCACATGACACCGGGGGGGAAAAATGGCTAACTGGGCCTAATTGGGACATTTTCACTTATGGGTGTACTTACTTTTGTTGCCAGCGGTTTAAACATTAATGGCTGTGTGTTGAGTTATTTTGAGGGGGGACAGCCAATTTACACTGTTATACAAGCTGTACACTCACTACTTTACATTGTAGCAAAGTGTCATTTCTTCAGTGTTGTCACATGAAAAGATATAATAAAATATTTACAAAAATGTGAGGGGTGTACTCGCTTCTGTGAGATACTGTATGTCTCTTCTGCAGTATAAAGCTCCACTTCTGCCTGCCAACAGTATTTCATCTGAGTGCATCTGTGCAGCTTACTGAACATTCTTGGCAAGCCTTGGTACAGCGATAAATTAACGCCTCATGCGCAACAGCTACATCACCTGGGTGAATTAATCGTGATGGCTGAAGATGGCTCAGCTTAGTTTCTAACCTGAGCTTAAGAAGAAAAAAACTCCAACATTAACCTGTCCAGATTCCCCTTACACAATACATCCCAGCCCTGATGAAGGAGGAATTCTGTCCGGAACATGTCGGATGTCAACTCCTGATAGACCCCTTTACAACATTCATATCTAGATCAATCTTTACAGCTTGGCTGTGTCATCCTTTGACTCCTTTTGGGACCCAGTTGAGGCTCCACTGGGAAGTAAAAAGCTGCCGCACAGTCATTTATTTGGAACCTCCAAGAGCTCCACCACCCAATTCCAGTGAGTTTTTATTGCCGTCTACAGATGCGTATAAAATGCTGTAACAAATCTATCGCTTAAAATGCTCCCCAATGTGCAGCCTTCCTTAAATATGAAACAGCCCAAGTGAGCCACTGAAAACAATGTCATCAACTTACCAAAATAAAGAAGAAGGACCATCGGTCCTGATGAATCTTCCTCTTCCCAAACACGAATGTGATTAAGTAAACATAGAGGACCATGGCCATGCCATAACCCAAAATTTCCACAATCTGCAAATCAAAAACATAATTTTCATGTAACAAACATTTGCCTAATCTACACACATTGGACAAATGTAGAATTGTCATGAGGTTATTGTAATCGGCCTTCCCTTCAGTCTTGCACAGTTGTACTTAGACTGAAATTGCTTACTCTGATTGCAGTGCACACTGTGAGCTTCTCACAATGTGCATTAGAAGCTGCAGTTCTTTCATTAATGGAGGCTCAGAATCACATGTGGGCAATACCTATGGTGGTCTGTATTCAAATGCATATGTATTCTCACTCTTCCAGACTGACTCCTCCCATGATCAAGCCCACTGCTTGCTTCAGGACTGAGGGCTCTTGAGAGGCGTACTGAGCCAGTTTACTATGGTGTTTTCATAAAGCTATGCACAACACACTGCCAGCCCTTTCCACCAGCCATGGTTTGCCTGCACTGCAACAAGCACTGAGTCCCAGTGATGACATCATTGCTTTGGATTGGCTTCCTGAAGGTGACAACAATAGACCATGTCTGAACAATGTGTGTTAGCAAGGTCTCCCTGGAGAGAACCAATATGACCAGGGGCGGACTGACAACTCATGGGGCCCCCAGGCAATAGGGGATCATGGGGCCCCTGTGTCCTTGCCCAAACTCAAAAAAGCCAATGAAAAAGGTACCAGGGGCATCTCATGGGGCCTCCCACTGACCCTGGGCCCTTGGGCAGTGCCCAAGTTTCCAAATGGTCAGTCCGTCCCTGAACATGACCCCTGCTGTGGCACACCTATAGCTGTGGAATCAGAAAAGCTCATACTTCTTGCTGATTGGAGAGTTCTGGCTATAACTCAGTAGGGGGATAGCTGGACCTCTACAGAGAGACAACTGCTTCCACACAGAAAGCAAGGGTCCTTCTCTGAAGCTGCTGACAGGGGACAGGTTTTTCTACTCAGGTTGTGGCTGACTTCTAAAGAAAACCAAGTGTAAGACTTGGCGCACGTTTTGTTTTGTTGTACCTGGAATGTGTTCTGCTGATTCAAAATGAAAATCCAGTTAGGTTTTACATTACAGTTCAGATTTCAAAGAATCAGCTAAATGCTGAATGATGATACTCACAAGCAGCACTGCATTGAAGAACGACAGATAGACAGAATGGCTGAAAGCAAACACGATGGCGACCATCAGGAAAAGGAGTAGCCAAGAAAGGGAGATGTCCACCAGGGCTTGGCCAAACCAGTATGCCGATGGGAAAAGGCCAGAAATACGCAGCTGGGAACGAGCTTTGATCTGGAAGGAGAAAGAATCAGTGGGTGTGATCACAGCCAACAGAGAGAAAATTATATAATCTAACTGGACCATACTCTGTAGACTTCACCAACAGCTGAGCTCCATTGACCAATTTCTGTCAGATTCTGTTGGTTGTTTCAGGCACCAAGGGGCAAGGTTTTTCCTCACTTCCTTTCCTGGTGACAACATGAGGAGAAAGCTCCAAAATTGAAGCAGGTGATAATGAAAAAAAAAAAAAAAAAAAAAAACTTTTTTTGTAGTGTGGGAGGGATAGCATGTCTGTAACCCCTTCCGATCTGATAACACCCATTCCCATAATTCGTATTCTGCTCTCAGCAAGATAGGAAGTGAAGTGAATTCTCCTTTGGCAAATAAACCTGATAGCAGTTCCTCCCCATCAGGTTAGGCTGGGGTTGGTTGTCAGTCCCATTAGTTAGTCAGTTGGAAACATTCTGGAAACATACTGACACATATTTAAAAGTTAAAGTGAACCTGGACTTAAAATGTGAATATTTTAAAAATTTAGAGAAATTCTTTTTGTGTTTAAACAGTACCCTGAAAAAACTATCCTTTTAATTCTGTTTCTTCAGAAAACTAGCAGAGCACTTCCTGTTCCTAGGCACTTCTGTTCTGCAGCCTCATGGCTGTAAATCTGCAGTGAGAGATCAGCTAAAGCACTGCTACCTGAGGACCTGCAGTGCAAGGATATCACTGCTTTTAAGCCAGGAGATTTTGAGTGAGATTTGCTGATGTCACTACAATGCTGTTCACCATTCTCCTTGCTGGAGTGGCTCCTGTTCATGAGGACCTGCAGTGCAAGAATCTTCCTGATTCCATGCCTAGTAGCCTCAGGGGATTTAGAGTGAGATTTGGTGATGTCTCTATTTTGATGTTCTCATTGCTGGAGAAGAAGCTGTAGCTGAGGACCTGCAGTGCAAGGATCTCCTTGCTTTCAAGCCTATTAGTCTCAAGAGATTTGGAGTGAAATTTAATTATGTCACTACTCTGCTGCTCCCTGTTCTCCTTGCTAGGGAGGATGTTGTACCTGAGGACCTACAGTGCAAGGATCTCCCTGCTTCTAAGCCTGGAAGTCTCAAGAGATTTGGGATGAGATTTGGTGGTGTCACTGCTATGCTACTGACGGTTCTCTTTGCTGGAGAAGGAAGCTGTACCTGAGGAGCTGCAGTGCAAGGATCTCCCTGCTTCTAAGCCTGGTAGTCTCAGAAGATTTGCTGATGTCCCTATATTGCTGCTCACTGTTCTGCTTGCTGGAGAGGCAACTGTTCCTGAGGACCTACAATGCAAAAATCTTCCTTTTTCCAAGCCTGGTAGCCTCAGGGGATTTGGATTGATATTTGGTCATGTCACTACTGTTTGGCTCATTGTTCTCCTTGCTGGAGAGGATTCTGTGATCACATTCTGTGATCTGTGCAATCATCAGATAACGACCAACAAGCCCGGACTGGCCATAGGTCACACCGGGCATTTGCCCGGTGGGCCTGGGCCGCCTGGATTGAAGAGTGGGCCAGGCAGTACAGAGAGGACCTTGCATTTCTCGGTTCCTCTATGTGCCGCCCAGCCACCTCTCTATCCATCTCCTGCATGCGGTCAGCTCCTGTATGCTCCCCCGTGGCCACCCCCCCACCCCCGCCTTCCCCTCCCACCCTCATCTCCTCCAGCGCTGCAGGGGATCTGTCATATGTAAGCTGTGCCCAGTGCTGACAGTTCCCCGTCCACCACAGATGGGAGAGAAGTGACACAGCTGGTTCTGCCCCTCCTCCTCCCCGCCCTCTCCTGTGCCCCACCCACACTCCCCACCAGCCTTGCGTCTTCTCTCCCCCTTCTCTCTCTCTCCTGTTTCTCTCCTTTCTTTCGCTGTCTCCTGTTTCTCACATTTCTTTCTTTCCTTCCTTCTTTCTCTCCTTCTTTCTCTCCATCTCCTGTTTTTCTCCTTTCTTTCTTTCTCTTTCTTTCTTTCTTTCCTGCCTTCTGTGTTTCTTTCTTTTTCTTTCTTTTCTTTTCTTTCTTTCTTTCTTTTTCTGCCTTCTGTGTTTCTTTCTTTCTCTCTCTGTCTCCTGTTTCCCTCCTTCATTCCTTCTCTCTTTTCCTCCTTCCTTCTTTTTTTCCTTCTTTCTATCTTTCCTTCTATACATCTCTTTTTATTTCTCTCTCTCTCTCCTGTTTCCCTCCTTCTTCTTTCTTTCTTTCTTTCTTTCTTTTTCCTCCTTCTTCCCCTCCTTCCTTCTTTCCCTCCTTCCTTCTTTCCCTCTTTCCTTCTTTCTTTCCCTCCTTCAATACATCTCTTTTTCTCTTTCTTTCACGTCAAGAATTTTGGAAATGTATTTATAAGCACATTCATGCTATGAGAATATGGAATCTTTATCTACCCTTGGACATACATGTTGCTAAAGTTCACAAATATATTTATAATAAAAAGTTCCGGTCCGAGCATGTAGGCCCTTTACAAAATAATCTAGAGTGAGTGACTGGGGACAAAGAGAAGGCAAATTTATTAAATATCTTCTTCAGCTCTGTGTATACAAAGGAGCATGGGGGAGCTCTTTTCCATAATGGGGATGATATTGACACAGCCCCAGATGATCCACATTGCTCACAATTGATATGATACAAAAATATTTAGACAGAATAAAGGTAAATAAAGCACATGGACCGGATGGCATACACCCACGGGTCCTTAAAGAATTGAGCTCTGTCATTTCAAAGCCATTGTTTCTCATTTTTAGGGACTCTTTAATGACTGGCATAGTACTACTGGATTGGCGTTAGGCCAATGTGGTGCCAATATTTAAAAAGGGGTCAAAATCTTTACCAAGTAATTATAGACCTGTTAGTTTAACTTCTATAGTTTGGAAGATACTGGAGAGTTTAATAAAAGACCACACAGATGAGTTCTTGCTGGAAAAAAATATTTTAAGCAGCAGACAGCATGGATTCATGAAAGATAGAAATTGTCAAACAAATCTGATTTCTTTTTTATGAGGTGAGCAAAACCTTGGACAGAGGGGTGGCGGTGGACGTGGTATACTTGGATTTTGTAAAAGCGTTTGACACAGTTCCCCACACATGGCTAATGTGTAAGGTAAAGTCTACAAGCTTGGAAAAATCTGTATGTAAATGGGTAGAAAACTGGCTTAAAGATCGCATTCAAAGAGTAGTGGTTAATGATTCATACTCTGAATGGTCTAGGGTTGTCAGTGGTGTACCCCAAGGTTCAGTGTTGGGACCCTTACTTTTTAATATATTTATAAACGATATAGGGTCTGGGATTAAAAATACCATTTCAGTCTTTGCAGATGACATCAAGCTGTGCAGTGGAATAACGTCCTTACAGGATGTCTTCAATTTACAAGCCGACCTCAATGCACTGTTTAATTTGGCAACTATGTTGTAAATGAGGTTTAATGTTGATAAATGTAAGGTATAGACTCAAGAGAGAGAGATATTATTTTACCCCTGTACAAATCATTAGTAATACCTCATTTGAAATATGCAGTTCAGTTTTGGGCACAAATTCACAAAAAAGAACATTGAGGAACTGGAGAAAGTATAGAGAAGGGCAACCAAACTGATAAGAGGCATGGAGGAGCTCAGCTATGAGGAAAGATTAGAGGAACTGAATTAATTATCTCTGGAGAAGAGGAGATTAAGGGGGGATATGATCAACATGTATAAATACATCAGTGGTTCATATAGTGAACTCGGTGTAGAGTTATTCACCCTGAGGTCATCACAGAGGACAAGGGGGCCCTCTTTACATCTGGAGGAAAAAGAAATTTAAACTCCAAACACAGAAAGGTTTCTTCAAAGTGAGAGCTGTGAAAATGTGGAATAGACTCCCTCAAGAGTTGGTTCTGGCCAGCTCAGTGGATTGCTTTAAAAAAAGGCCTGGATTCTTTCCTAGATACACAGAATATAACTGGATACTAACATTTATAGGTAAAGTTGATCCAGGGAATATCCGATTGCCTCTCGGGGGATCAGGAAGGAATTTTTTTCCCTGCAGGAGCAAATTCGATCATGCTTTGCTGGGTTTTTTTTTTTGCCTTCCTCTGGATCAACTGTGGGTATACGATTATAACTGTTTTTTTTTAATGGTTGAACTGGATGGACTTTTGTATTTTTTCAGCCAGACTAACTATGTAATTCCAATTCCTGCAACTTCATACCTATAACTAGAAATATAGAATTCCTAAAGTTATTTTCTGATCTCTAGATAGGATACACATTCCCACTAGGGGAGGCGACTGGAAAAAAGCACTACTCTAGCAAGAAATGCGCTGGATTAGGGGCCTGGATGCCACTCACCATCCTGGTCTAAATGAATCTGAAAGTTACAGACCCTTTTTAGAGGGCTTTACTTCTGGCAAGACAAACTTAAATATCTTTCATAAATTCTCATCAAGTGATCCAATTAATTCTCCTCACTAGGGGAGATTTTCCCCATTTTGTATCTGCTGCAGAGTTGTCCTGATTATATTGCTACTTTATTGCATTTCCTCTCTTCTAGATAAATGTTCATTATACTGTCTGGATTATTTGGGGTTTTTTTTTGTTATGTTTAAGATTATTGTACATGCTTCCTGTGCTGGAATCTGTGTCTGCCCCTTGGATGCGGTTTTGTGTTGGGATGCCCAGCACGAAAGGGTCCCTCAGTCCGGTTATGCGGTGGGGGAGCTCTCTTTGTGGCCTTGTGGAGCGATGGGCAGATTTCCTTCTGCCTGCTTGCGCTTTAGGTATGGTCTGTGCTGTTCCGTGTCGGCGGTGTCTCCCACATGGCGCCCACCTGGTCCCTGGGAATAAGTTATTCCTGGGCTGGATGTGACGTCAATGCGTATGAAGCGATTGTGCCTGCGCAGTTGTGTTGAATGCTGGGAACCACATGATAGGCGCCATCTTCCCCTCCAGCGGATATCATCCGCATATGAGAAGGGAAACACATACATTACCATTATTTATTATTTATTACCAATATTTGATGCAGCTTCTAATATTGAGTTTGGTCACAGGAGGAATTGCGTGCATGATGCCTGGTCCTGACCCTTTGGTGTTAACCCACCAAGTTTAGTCCGAACAACAGGACTGTGCTTTGGATGTCCAGTCTATACAGCACTATATTTTTATGCAGTTCATGGCGAGTTGTAAGAATGTAAGTGACCATCTTGAATGTCTATATTGAAAAATCTTTGAATTAATGTAGCTTAGATATTCAACTTATCATCCTTTTCTGTTGCTGCTGAGAGTGTATCTCTAATTGTGGAGGGACATTGAAATTAGCCAAGTATCCGTTTGTAATTTACATATCTGGTAATAAGATATATATTATGAGGATTTAAAAATCTTTTGTCCCTATTAATATAGGACAAAGTAGACTTATAAAAGGAAAATAACTTTCCAAGATACGCTTGATACCTTGTTTATACTTTTAAGATATCATTATACATGGTATTATATTAACTGATATATGCTGTGTTACAACAGTGTCTGTGATGTGGCAACTGTGGTTCCTGCATGTCAAACGATGGCCTCATCCTATGGGGGAGACTTATTTTCCAAACACAGTAAAGCATCTTCTTTTGACTAATTTTGGTGGTATGTAAGTCACACATTATTATATGGTTGGTCTTTCAATTTTTCAACTATAGAGAAATATGTATAAAGGATTAATTACTGACAATTATTGTTTTTGAGTGGTATCCTTTCCCTGAGGAAGAATCTGTACTAAGGTATTTGAAACGTGTTGGACTTAGGCTGAATGCACTTGTAGTCCAAAACTGAGGTTGCAAGATGGAAATCGGCTTTAAGGGATATCATTAGTCATTTATTGTAATAACTACAAATGCTGTGAAGCAAACATGTTGTCAAGAATTGTTGTAGTTTATTGGTGAAATATGTGTTGTTTATTCGATATGTATCAATGTGTCAAATAAAATGTCAATCTATTAAATAATTGATTGTTTTGTATACATTCTAAAGTTGCCTTTAAAATCCCACAAAATGTAAGATATAATTCTCTCTATTATGGAAATAGGGATGATGGCAACCACACCCTAAGTTACACTGGATGACCTTTTATTCCTTCATTCCCTCCTTGCTTCTTTCCCGCCTTCCTTCTTTCCCTCTTTGCTTCTTTCCCACCTTCTTTCTTTCCCTCTTTCCTTCCTTCTTTCTTTCTCTCCTTCCTTCTTTCCCGCCTTCCTTATCTCCCTCTTTCTTTCCCTCCTACCTTCTTTCCCTCCTTTCTTCTTTCTTTCTATACGTCTCTCTTTCTCTCTCCTGTTTCTCTCCTTTCTTTCTTTCACTCCTATCTTTCTTTCCCTCCTTCTATACGTCTTTCTTTCTCTCTTTCCTGTTTCCCTCCTCCCTTCTTTATTTCCCTCTTCCTTTCTTTCCCTCCTTCCTTTCTTTCTTTCTTTCCTTTCTCTCCTACAAAAAATGCAAAAAAAAAAAAATAAAATTGTAAAAAATAAATACAAATAAAAACCTACTGACACTAGTGGCAGAACTAGCAGGGTCGCAAAGGTTGCTATTGCAACCAGGCCCTGGTGTTCCGCCACCGGGGTCCAAGGAAAGGGTCCCCGAGCTTTGGACTGCTCAGTCCAAAGTGCCCAGGCCTATTTTTTGTCCCAGTCTGGGCCGGACTACCAATCATCTGGGGGTAGCTGTGACATAAGAAAGCAAAGTGCTGTCTTTGCAAACATGACCGCCTCCACACAGAGACACAGAAAAGAGAGTGCAGAAAAGGGCACGGTAAGTCAGTAGTAGAGAAAAGATCAGCTGCCGGAAGTCCACAGTTATTACTGGTGACTAGACTAGTTCTTTGCCCTCCCCTACCTTTTTTTTGGGCTTCCAAAGTAGATGTCCACTCTAAGTCTAAATCACAAAACACTAGCAATAAAGTCCCATTGCCTATACGAACCTTCATATCCTGCATGCTGGTCATTGCAAAGTGGGGGGCAAGTCCGGACGCATATATCATACACACAAATCCCACGTAGAACATCACGTAATGATCCCTGTAGTCCTGGTGACAGAAAGAAAAATTGTTACATGGACAAATTCATTTTTTTTATTAGAAAGCAAACAAAAATATTTTCCAAGAATAACTATAAGTTAGATACCTACCTTCCTCTCTGTTTCAGCAGTCTCCACTGTGTGGTCCTGTCCCTTCACCACAGCCTGTGCAACATAAATGCCCTGGCTCCTTTTTTAAATATGCATGGGGGGCCCCATTCATTCTTAGGGGTGAATCCTACTCATGGTGGCCTCCAGCCATTCAGCTCATCCATAGGAATAAGAAGGAAGAGGAGCCATTATCCCTTCTAAAAACTGAACAGGGCTGCCCAGCAAAGAATATTAGAAAATTTACAGGGATTTTTCGTAATGGTTTGTGGCATTTATATGGTACATTTTTAATGAATAGACTCCCATAGTATGTTGTAACTTATACTTTCTTCTGTGTTGATACCAGTTAGTTGTTGCTGCAGACCCTCAATATAACAGTTTTTTTTTCAGGAACTAGTGCAATGAAAATATAACTAGAGATCTATTGTCTGTATTCAAATATGCATAATAAAATTGGACACGATGGTGGGAATTAACAAAGGGTGCTGCAGGCTTTATGCTTGTGCCACTCTTCTAACCTGAGACAATGGAGTTGATCCTGAGCCTAAGTAACAAAAAAGAGAGCAAGCTCTTTGTTAAGTAGGAATGACCTGCTGATTGAACTATGCAGTGTCTGTGACAGACACAGCACAGAGAGTATTCCTGATTCCTATGCCCAGCAAAGCAAATGAAAGAAAATAGGCCCCAAATCTATGTTTGTCTGCCCTATCACCTTGTAATAAATCTGCCACATTGGTCGCAATCATGCTAAAATTATAAACTGCACCATAATTAACAAGCAACTGCTTTAACTAATGACTCCCTCTGCCATTCCCCGCCTCTACAACCAGAGAATTGAGCGCAATATAGTGCAGATGTAAACAGGTCCTAAAACTCCGGGATAAGGATCCTTATTTAAATTTTAAAAAAGACGGTTATTTTCAGCTACTGCTTGTCGAATGAAACAGAAAATTACAGTTATTTTCAGCTCATCAGATCATGTCCAATGAGACAGAAAGTGACAGTCACATGGCTGAAAATAGAGATCCTTACCCTTGTGCAAAGCTTTGAGAATTGAGCCTAAGCCCTCATGCACACTGGACATTTTGATAATGCTGGTAACATTAGCTGTGTAACGTTACATTAAAAACATGAGTTTTTCAGCTTCTTTCAGCGTTTTTGCATTGGTGTTTAGCTGCGATTAGCGTTTTTCCCACGTATTATTTTTTTAGTGTTTTATTGGTTAAAAAAAATGTCCAAAAACGCTGGTTTGCAGCATTTTACAGTGTGGTGCTGTGTTTTTTTTAGCGTTTTTCAGCATTAGAGCGTTTTTACAGCTACAAAACTCCTTTAGAAATCCACTAATCCTGGATTTTCTCTCTAGCCAAAAAATGTCCCAGCCACACATTGCAGTCTATGTGTGCATGGACACATAAGATAACATGCTGGGGGGTTTACTAACTGTAGAAAAAAAATGTCAAGAGCCAAAAACAGCAGCTGTAAAAACGTAAAGTGTGCATGAGAGGTTATGAGTGTTTACCGAACAAGCCACTTTTTACAATTCACGATTCACTGAACAATGACACAAGCACCATGCGCTTAAATAACTTCATGACGTGACAAAAAAGTAAACCAGGAACAGACAGATGAGTACTCACAGGCAAGATGGGGTCATTCCACATCCTGATCCTCTCTGTGGAGTTATAGACCCTCATAAAGGCGTTACTGATAATATTAACCAATACCGGGAGACTATTCTGTGCTCGGGGGTTTCCAATTATTCTGTACCCATAACCCTAAAAAATAAAGCCAGAAAAGTGATGCCATACAAAATAAATTATATATTAAACAGTATTTTTTTTTGTACTCGTCACATGTGAAGTACTAACCATCTGCTTAATGTGATCCAATACTGGAAATCAAGTCTAGGAACAGTATAGGTCAAGGTCAAATAAACTTATTTCATCATTTCATGTATTTCCATCCAATAAGATTGGATTTAAAGTATAGTATGTATAGCAAAGCAGTGCTGTAGTCTTGGAAGGTCTTGGAAGGGGTAGGAAAGCATTAAAACCCACATTAAGTTATCTTTTGCTGTCTGTATCCTGCTGGGGAGATTTTCCCTCACTGTCTTTCAGAATAGAAAGGGTGAATTTACTCAATGGGAACAACATCACAACCTGACAGAGGCTCTAACCCATACCTACTCCATCCAAAACTAATATGGAACATATTTTCTTTAACATAACTCTCATTTGTATTTTTACCTACAGGTAAGCTTACTAAGCGTACTAAGCGTAATAAAACTTACCTGTAGGTAAAATGAATATCTCCTAAGCGTTTAACGTTTAGGAGATATTGTACAGAGTAGCAGCTGGTGACATAACCAGCGCATGCGCTCTAAAGGAACGGCATACTCCTTCAGAGCTGTGTGCTGTGGCCACTCTCCTCTCCAGATGATGGAGTTCAGGTGTCTCCAGTGAAGGGTCCTGTTAATACTGCATCATACAAAGACATTGTAGACAACTGTGATCTTTCAACCTTGTGGTAACACTTTGGGAAAGACCCTTTACTGTTCCACCATGATTGTACCCCTGTGTACAAAGCAAGCTCCATAAAGACATGGTTTGAACAGTTTGGTGTGGAGGAACTCAGGTGTCCTGGATCAACCCCTGACCTCAGCCCCACTGAATACCTTTAGGATGAATTAGATTGTGAGACAGGTCTTCTCATTCAACATTCATACCTGACCTCACAAGAGCCTCCACTCTTCTTGACCTCAAGAAGAGTGGAGGCTCTTATAGACACAAAGAAGAGATAACTCTGCATAGTTTGACCAGTTTGGTGTGGAGGAACATGAGATTTGTTTACAGAGCTCTGACCCTACAGAACACCTTTGGAATAAAACCAGCTCATGGATTATGAGCCAGGTCTTCTCATCCAACATCAGTACCTGACTTCACAAATTAACACAAATCCCCACAGATACCCTCCAAAAACTTGCGGAAAGCCTTCCCAGAAGTGTTGAGGCTGTTATAGATACAAATGTGGAATAACTCTGCATGGTTTGACCAGTTTGGTGTGAAGAAACATGAGTGTCCTGCACAGCGCCCTGACCTCAAACCTACTAAACACCTTTGGGATGAATTGGAATACTGATGGCAAGCCAGATCTTCTCATCCAGCATCAGTACCTGATCTTACAAATAGATACAAATTCCCATAGATGCTCTCCAAAATCTTGTGGAAAGCGTTCACAAAAGAGTGGAGGTTGCTATAGCCACAAAGAGGGCAACTCCATTTTAATGGCCATGGGTGGAGGGGGGCAACTCCACATTAATGGATGTATGAATAGATGTATGGGGTGGGGCAATTGTCTATTAACGGCCATGGTTTTGAAACGGGATGTCCAACAAGGTCATATAGGTGAGATAGCAAAGTTACACATACTATGACCATATACTGTATAACACATGCATAGCAAGATTTTTTTTGGTTCAGAGACTAGTGATAATGTTATTAGTATTGTCAGTAGTGATTTATAAGTGCTGTATGCATCAGGAAAATGGTAGGGGACTTCTCCTTTTATTTTTAGTATCCTCAGTGGTAGACAAATGTTACTTTGTAAGAAAGTTCCATTACCTTATCATTGTCTTGTGTGATCTCTATAGCGCCATTGTAGGCTGTAGTATTTTTTCATCATACGGACCATCCACAACATCCACGGCAATATCTTGCGCCATGACACTATGAAGAAATTTTTCAATGGGGAGACCTATGTGGAGATATACTGTAAGTCACCATAATGGAAGGCTATGATTTAGGTAAAAGGAACCCTAGTGACATGCACAAGTTAATTGTTGACATTTACAGGTTAATAATAAAAACATTCTCAGGTGGTTGAAGGGTTGAATCCTATCTCTGGAAATTTGTTTTACTCATTGGTAACATTTTTGCAGATTTTACGCCTATAGATCACAGCAGTACTGTACAAGACATGCATTGACTACTGCAAGCTGCTTATAACTTTGGTGGTATTGTTAACTTGGTAATTAGTAATTCATGCCATAATGTAAGTAATAGATCTATTTCCTATGAATGACAGCTCCATCTAGTGGCCATAATGCTGTAATTTCCTAATTGGGGAATCTCAGGAAAATACTGCATTATGGCCACTAAACATTGATGACAATCATGACGTTTGAAGGTTGTGCGAATGCACAGTAAACTTTTGATAAAAAGTCCCAAAAGAGTAGAGTTTTTTTTGGTAGAGACTGTATATGCTTCTTCTGCCAATAAAAAATTCTTCCCGTCTATTGGCAATATTTTCTTTGTGTACATTGTGTGATGTGCATGAACAGTACAGTGTACGTTCTCAGAATATATAAGATGAGAGAATGGAGCTGGGTGACAGGAACTGGAGTTCCTTCATCAGCGGCCCACTAGTGGTGGAAGAAAGAAGATGCTAGGGCAGGAGATGACTATAAGAAGATGGCAGCAACAAGGTGGAGCATCAACCAGCAAATCTAGGTCACTATAATCTGCAACATACTTGCACTATATTGTAAATGCTCTGGGAACCCCTTGCTGCTTTAGTTCTGCTTTAAGACTGAGAATATTTTTAATATGCCAAATGGAATTTTTAAGCTTACAGTGTTGATAATTAAAAATGATGGACCCTTTTTGTCTTGTACCAGTGGTGTTGACGAGCAGAAGATTGGAGTAATATCTGTGATTCCGTTCTCCGGGTCTTCGAAAGTAAAGGTGTGGAGTCAGTTCCCAGGTGTTTATGGAGTGTGAACTGTTCATCACTATGGTGAAGGTAACCAGGGGAAGGATGAACAGTACCAAAAGAAGAAGTCTGAAATTCAATATGGCATGTACATGCATATTAGATTAAGGACAACTTATGTTCATTCCTACATTGCATCTGACATCTGTGGTTGGCAGTAAACTGCTACTTGAAGACCCAGTGACCCAACTCCACCCATCAGATTACATAAAAGTAGTATATATATTAGGTGTAACATACTCTATATGGTCAAAGGCATAGGGTCACCCCTCCAAATGATAGAGTTCAGGTTCATGGTCCTGTTAATACTACATCATAATAGACATTGTGGATGATCTTGCTCTTTTAGCATTGTGGAAATAGTTTGGAGAAGACCCTTTTCTATTTCACCATGACTGTGCTCCATGTACAAAACCAGCACAATAAAGACATGGTTTGATCAGTTTGGTTTGGAGGAACTTGAGGGTCCTGCACAGAGCCCTTACCTCAACCCTACTGAACACGTTTGGGATGAATTGGAATGTCAATGGAAGCCAGGTTTCCTGTGCACAAGGCCAGCTCCATAAAGACATAGTTTAACCAATATGGTGTGAATAACCTTGAGGGCCTACATACAGCTCTGACCTCAACCCTACTGAACTCCTCTGGGATGAATTGGAGCACTGACTGCAAGTCAGGTGTTCTCTGTACAAACCTCAACAAAGGTTCCTGTGGAGAAACCTGGTGTTTTCTACATACACTATGTTGGCAGTTTTTGATGGAGCTGGCCTAGAATTTTTGCCTTTGCCTGACAAAGCTATGTTTATGTTAAGAAAGCATGCACAGTAAAAAAAATGTCTATCGCCATCTGGTAGCACTTAATATCAATGTGTGGAATTTTAGACATGGATAAGCTTTCTATATTGTACCCTGGTCCCACTGCACCATATATTACCAGAAACTGATTACATCACCTACATGGATCGAATGCCTTTCATGTCATGGATGAGCTTCAAGTATCGGATCCTCGCCACAGCCAAAACCTGTTGTCTCCACAATGCCAGTCCACTGATGGTGGGTGTACCGGAGTCTGACATCAGAAGGATCGAATCCTCCGGCTCCGAAGAGAAGTGATCCTCTTCTTCATTTTGCTCATGGGCAAAAACGCCATAATCTGATAATTCAAGATGAGAAAATTATAATTTGGTGTGCTGAACACAGAAAACAAAGATTTAATTGCAAAGATCTTGTTTTGGCCCATTTTATTGTCATTAGTCGCCTTGCTCACAGGGGCGGACTTACCATTTGAGCACTCGGGCACTGCCCGAGGGCCCGGGCTCAGTAGGGGGCCCCATGAGAAGCCCCTGGTACCTTTCATTGGCTTTTTCATAGGCTTTTTGGGGTTTGGGTGAGGACTCAGGGGCCCCATGATCCCCTATTGCCCGGGGGCCCCATGAGTTGTCAGTCTGCCCCTGCTTGCTCATATAGTCCTTATTACTATATTGGTAGCAATTTTGACCTCAAGCTTAGCCTTGGAATCCAGTTAAAAGGTAAATGTAAACCCTAACAATAAACTTCTCTTATTTGGCTCCTTTTGGTTTGTTATATACTTATGCCATTGAAAGTGTGTTTTTTTAATATGAACAGTATCTGTTTGATAAGTGAAAAATAAATCAGTTGATCCTGCCAGAAATCCAGTGAGCTGGCAACTTTAAAGAAAATAGCCACCACATCTAAGAAGTACCCAAACATTTTCATAATTTCAGATCTTAGAACTGCTGGAGTATTAAAACATATAAAAATTATACCTCACCTCCTTTTTCAATCTCAGCCTCTCCTTCCAGTTTCAGGAACACATCATCCAGAGTAGTAATAGAGACACCGTAACTTACAATGTCTCGTCCCACATGTCCCTCCAGGTCAGAGAACAGAGCTGCAAACAAATAGTTCAAACGTAAAGGAGAACTTCAAGCAAAACTTTTTTCTGAACTGCGACTCTATGAGATTGAGCTTTTGGCTAAGCCTGGGCAAATTATTGTTACCAGGCCTCAGGGCCTAGCACAATTGCATAGCCACTTATTTATTTTATTTATTTTTTCTCTCCATGTCTTTGCCACTTTTTCACTTTTGTGTGTGTTTTTTTCACTGCATGGAGGGTGTGGGCCCTTGGGCCTGCCTTGAAGTCTAGGGGGAGGGATGTGTGACCATCCGGTTCCTTCCTTCCTGGATCCTGGCACGGGTCTCTCTTTGGGAGAGCCTCTCAACCTAGTACTCAGTGGTCGGCTTTGGCTGACCACAAGGAGGGGGTCTGCCAGGCCTTTTGGCTAGGTGGACCATATTCATAACTTTGTCCCTGTCAGGAGCCATGTGCCCCATGGGCTCTGGGTAAGGGTCCTACCCTCGGATAGAAGAAAAGCACACCCTTAAGTTTTTTTGTGTGTGTGTGTGGTCACAAGCACTTTTTTTGTTCACTTACAGGTTTTTATTTTTGTGCACCATTTTTCTGTGAATTTTAAAAAAAGATTATTGTAATCAGTAAATTACATTTACCCCTATGCTGTCTTTTCTGACATACAGATCTTATGGCAGGAACGTTGCAGTACCCTTAGCTCAATGCTCCTGGTCCATGCACTCCCTGCTTCAGTTTCCCTGTTATTCTATTAATCCACTCCAAATTAATACCCAAAAGACTTCAATTGTATGCTTTCCATACCAAGACATACGCCCTGTACCTGGGAAGGCATCCATGTTCTCGAATGGCAGGGTGAAAGTCAAATCCTCCACATTCTGTGTGCTAAGTTTGGCACTGAAGACATGCTGCTTTATGAGCAATGTGATGGCTTCTGTGTCACATGGTGATGTCACCTGCATCCTGGTTTCCCAAAAAAGACAAAGTAAGTATAGCACTATTAGGTAAAATTTATCACTAAAACATTCTCCACACTTTTGAGGGACATGGATCCTTCAAATGGGCCAGCCTTATATTCATTTGAAGCTGCAAATGTGAGACTTAGTCTTAAAAAGGGCCAAACACGATAGCAGCGATTACAGTTTAATGACACAACAATGGTGAATGGTTAGTGTGTGTCAAAATGACCAAAGGGGTTTTTATTTCGCTCTGTATTAGCCACACTGACCCACAGCATCAAAGTTTCCACATTTTCATAGGCTATGTCTGCTATACTTGTAGTGTAGTTTAGGACCTGGTGCCTCCAGGCAACTAAAGCTTTCTTGAAGGTTTGTATATGAGTGTTTTTCTGTGTGTGCATCACAGTCTAGTTGTTGGAAAAGTAGTTTCCCTTCCTAATGGTTCAGATATGATGCTCTTTGCATTTGCACCACGGTCTAGATGTTAAAGGAGTTGTTGGTGAATCCTACCTCTTCTGTGTAGTTTATGTATGAAGCCCTTTGTGTAAGCATGAAAGTCTAGATGCTAGAGAAGTTGTTTGGTGAATCCTAACCTTTCCTTGTAGGTTCACGTTTAAGGCCCTTTGTGTTTGCTCTACAGTCTGGATGTTAGAGGAGTTGTTGGTGAACCCTAATCCTTCCATGTAGTTTAGGCAAGAAGCCCTTTGTGTAAGCACCAAAGTCTAGATGTTAGAGGAGTTGTTTGGTAAACCTTAACTCTTCCTAGAAATCTCAAATATGAGACCTTTTGTATTTGCACCACATTCTAGATGTTAGAGGAGTTGTTTTGTGACTCTTAACCCTTCTTGAAAGTTTAGGTGTGAGACCCTTTGTGTTTGCGCCACAGTTTGAATGCTAGAAGAGTTGTTTGGTGAATAATAACCATTTTGTGATGTTTAGGCATTAAGCCCTTTGTGTAAGCAGCACAGTCTAGATGTTAGAGGAGTTGTTTGGTGAATCCTTACCCTTCCTTGAATTTTCAGGTATAAAAGGAACTTTGTGTTTGCACTACATTCTAAATGTTGGAGAAATTGTTTGGTGAATCCAATACTTATTACACCAGCTACATCACCTGCAAATCTGAAAGCATTATATGCAGGTTTGGGTCTCCTTGTTCACCTCAAATGATAGCCGATGCCCCATTTTCGCTTTAGGAAAAAAGAGCTCCCAACACATTTCAGCCTCCCGTTAGAGAGCACAGCCTTACGGTCTGAAACCAAATTAGAAGATAAGAGTCAGACATCGATAAGAATTTACAACAAGTTTAAACATTTTGTATGCTGTGACATGCAAGTCTGAGAGTTGGGATAAACTAAATTGGATGCATCTGGTTACAGAGATTTGTCTTTGAAAAGCCACTCTTTGTTGTATCCCTAAACAAATGATAGCTAAGGTCACAAATTTAAAGGAAAAATGCTTAGTCATGTGAACTTTTCCAGCAGATAGAACCATGCTAATTGGCTTCATAATATTTGGACACAGACCATTTATTTGGCTACAAAAAGGGACATGAGCTGTCTTCAGTACATTTTTAAAAAGTATGTTTATCGTGAAAATTACAACATAAAGGTGGACACAAAAACCTTAGAGCACCGCACCCGCAAGGATGTCGGCTTCATCCATGAACTGCGTGCTGAATAAGGTGACGTGGCCAACTTTGCGCTCTTTGAGAATAGACCACACACGATGCCTGGAGAACGGGTCAAGGCCAGCTGTCGGTTCATCGAGCAACAGAATCTAAAAGGAGGGGTAGTTTTAGAAATAGAAGAGATATTTGTGAATATGTGTGTTGCATACCAGCAATTAAAGAGAACTTCAGTGAAGCCAAGTTATTTTCACTTTATGTATTAATAATTTTAACATTCTATGTGCTCCAGAATTTTAGAGAAATGAGGATCCAAATACCACATTATGACCACTAGATAGGCTGAATAAGCTCCATGTAGTGGCTATAATGCAGTGCTTTCCCTAACCACTCTCTTTTTATGAATGAACAACATTTGACCTGTAGAGGAAATAATAGAACATTCAAAATTTGTGCCATATGCACAGAACAATTGTATCAGCTAGTTTACTAGATAAATAGCCACTGTATGTAAACATTTTAAAAAATATATATTGTGACAGTGCTGTGCCCTGCCACAGTGTGAAAAGGGTTTTGTATCTCCCATGGTTATCATCCAGACAGGTTGAGGGGCACCATGGTGCTTATGTCATATAAGGTAAACTGGATTTTATGTTTCTTCAGAGATTGGTAAAACTTGGTTTGGGTCCTGGCTTCGTAGAGACTTGGAAGGGGAACAAGACCAACATAGATCCACCAGCAGTCTAGGTGAGTGGAGGACTCTACCCTGGTGGACAGAGGAGATCTCTGGCCAGGAGTAAGAATGTGTATTTCTTTGTTGGTGCTAAAACTAACCCTGCATGGGTAACCCTTGTGTTGAACTTCAGCTTTGTTTTAAAGTGGCCAAGAAAAGGTCTTAAAAATAGGAACTAAAGTGGTTGTAAACCCTTACATATATCCAGTGAAGTGACTGTCCTCAGTTGATACACAGAGACAAATCCTCCTACATAAGTAGTACCTGTTTATCTGCTGACTTCTCTACAGCCTCCTAAAAAACACATTTTACATAACATTTCTGAGCTTCAGAAGGCAGGGGGTGGGTATCTGATGTCACACACGGCCCAGCAGAGAACAGCAAGCTGAGTGTATTTTGAGACCTGAGTGGAGGGAATGGACACATCCCCTCTACACAGTCTCATAAGGAAAAATGTACAGCTGAGGCTGTCAATCACCTGCTGTGTGTTGGTGTTGGCATACACGGTTAGATTTTACTTATGCAGATAGCGAGAAATCACACTTGATGCTTTGGATAGAAGCAAATACACACTATAGAAATATATGCTTTGTACATTTTTAATTTCAGAGCTTTATAACCATTTTATTCCAGTGACTGCACCCTTAATGGTCTACCATTTAAGCTGGTTTTTACAATGAGTTTTTTTTTTTCCTGAAAAGATTACCTCGGGGTCTCCTAATAGTGCAATCGCCAGTGTCAGCTTCCTCCTCTGACCGCCACTCAGTTTATTGGCTCTCAGGTCTTGAATGTTATCTATGTCCAGGTCACAAAGGACCTTTTCTACCTATAAAATAAATCTGATCAGCAAAAATTCAAATTTTCCATTTCAAGATGTCTATGGTTGATTCATATCTGCATATCCACATTGGTATGTACCTCGGATTTAACTTTACTTCTATGAACTCCTTTAATCTGAGCAAAAACCTTCAAGTTCTCCTTCACTGTTAAAAGCTCAAAGTTGACATCAAATTGCGGACAAAAACCAATCTTTCTCTGAATCTCCTGGCGAAGACTGAGGTCTGATAGAGGATGGTCATAGATGTTGGAAGATCCTACAGTGAGTAGGAAAGAGGTTAAAGGTCATCTTCGAACAAAATATATATTTGAGCCTCCATCTGTATTGCAGGGGTTGATTATGGTCCTATCAGCAGATTAGACGTCACTCCCATAATGCACAAGATAATGACACCACTGCTCATTCTGTTCAGCAGCAGCATGGTGTTCATTTCTTAGATGTTTCCAAAAGTGTTGTCAGACTTAAGGCTCTTTGAAGCTCTATAAAAGAAGAGCTATAGAAACTGTAATGGGTCCGCTATTTTAATGTTAGGCCACATTCACACTTGAGATGCAAATGTGCCCAACCACATTTACATGCAAGAACCCCAGCAGGGGGTCCCGTTGACTAGCTGTGAGAGGCAGCCCCATTGAAAGCAATAGGAGGCTGCCAGCTCCCACAGCTTGTTGAGGCTGCTCACTTATAATTCCTATGCAGCAATAACCTGCAACGTGGCCCAGGATGCAGACTGTTCAGGTCATGCTTATGTATTTTTATATACAGTGAGGAACAGAAGTATTTGAACACCCTGCGATTTGCAAGTTCTCCCACTTAGAAATCATGGAGGGGTCTGAAATTCACATTGTAGGTGCATTCCCACTCTGAGAGACAGAATTAAAAAAAAAAATTCAGGAAATCACATTATATGATTTTTAAAGAATTTATTTGCCTTGCACTGCTAAACATAAGTATTTGAACACCTGAGAAAATCAGTGTTAATATTTGGTACAGAAGCCTTTGTTTGCAATTACAGAGGTCAAACGTTTCCTGTAGTTCTTGACCAGGTTTGCACACACTGCAACAGGGATTTTGGCCCACTCCTCCACACAGAACTCCTTTAGATCTGTCAGGTTTCAAGGCTGTCACTGAGCAACACGGAGTTTCAGCTCCCTCCAAAGATGTTCTATTGGATATAGGTCTAGAGACTGGCTAGGCCACTCCAGAACCTTGATATGCTTCTTACGGAGCCACTCCTTGGTTATCCTGGCTATGTGCTTCGGGTCGTTGTCATGTTGGAAGACCCAGCCACGACCCATCTTCAATGCTCTGACTGAGGGAAGGAGGTTGTTACTCAAAATCTCACAATAAATGGCCCCATTCATCCTCTCCTTAATACAGTGCAGCCGTCCTGTCCCCTTCACAGAAAAGCACCCCCAAAGCATGATGTTACCAACCCCATGCTTCACAGTAGGGATGGTGTTCTTGGGATGCAACTCACCCTTTTTCCTCCAAACACGACGAGTGAAGTTTAGACCAAAAAGTTCTACTTTGGTCTCATCTGACCACATGACTTTCTCCCATGCCTCCTCTGGATCATCCAGATGGTCATTGGCAAACTTCAGACGGGCCTGGACATGTGATGACTTGAGCAGGGGAACCTTCCGTGCAATGCATGATTTGAAACCATGACGGTGTAGTGTTCTACCAACAGTGACCTTTGAAACTGTGATCCCAGCTCTCTTCATGTCATTGACCAGCTCCTCCCTTGTCGTTCTGGGCTGATTCCTCACCTTTCTTATCATCAGTGATACCCCACGAGGTGAGATCTTGCATGGAGCCCCAGTCCGAGGGAGACTGACAGTCGTCTTTAGCCTCTTCCATTTTCTAACAATTGCTCCAACAGTTGATCTATTTTCACCAAGCTGTTTGGCAATTGCCCTGTAGCCCTTTCCAGCCTTGTGGAGGTCCACAATTTTGTCTCTGCTGTCTTTTGACAGCTCTTTGGTCTTGCCCATGGTAGTAGTTGGTGTCTAACTGACTGTGGGGTGGACAGGTGTCTTTAAAGAGCTCAGACAGGTGCTACTAAGTTAGATTAATGAGTGGAGTAGAGGTGGACTTTTTAAAGGCACAGTAACAGGTCTTTGAGAGCCAGAATTCCTGCTGTTTCTTAGGTGTTCAAATACTTTTGTTCAGCAGGTCAAGACAAATAAATTCTTTAAAAATCATACAATGTGATTTCCTGAATTTTTTTTTTTAAAACTCTGTCTCTCAGAGTGGGACCTACACCTACAATGTGAATTTCAGACCCCTCCATGATTTCTAAGTGGGAGAACTTGCAAAATTGCAGGATGTTCAAATACTTCTGTTCCTCACTGTAGATAGGTAAAACATATAGAGGAAAATCTCACCGCTTGTGGCTCCGCACATCCCACTGAGTATATTCAGTAGTGTTGTTTTTCCAGCTCCACTGTGACCGAGTAATGCTGTGATCTGCCCCTCATAGATGTCCAGATTCAGACCTAGCGGTAAAACAATTCAATGATCAATGCATGGCTACACAATATAGGATTACACTTCCATCACAAACATGAAAAATGGTGGAATGCAACAATGTGTCTCTTTACATTAAAAGAATGAGTATCCTTTGTCTGAAAGTATACTGATCCTTTCCCAACTTCTTGGGTAGCCTTACTCTTAAAGGGATCTATTTATAAAAAAATAACCCTGCTGTTCGAATGCCTTAAACATTCTTATAGCCATAACGAATAGTCCCTATAATTCGCCTAATATGTGTATTTCCTATTTTCTTCCGCTCCATCTAGTGGCCATAATGGGTTATTTTCCTGTAATACCTCATTCAGAGAATTAATACACCATGGCCACTAGATGGACCTGGCAATCATGAGATTAAACATATATGGCAAAATATGGGGATTATTTGTGACAGCTGAGAGAATCCTTTAGATGTTCATACACATTTTTTTAAATAAATAATTGACCCCTTAATCTTTTTATTCTGATATGCATTATGTTCACAATGATTAAGCTTAGCTTAAGTGTTGGCTATGAATGTTTGTATACCCACTGTCTTCTAAATAGCAATTCCTCAGAAGGACAGACAGCTTTTCCTTGGCTTTATTATATTACTATTATACAGTATTTATAAAGCGCCAATAGTTCGCTCAGCGCTGTACATTACAAAGGGGGACAGAACATGTGACAGACCAACAACAATACAATGCAAAACATGAGGGGATCGAGGGCCCTGATCTTTCGAGCTTACAATCTAGGAGGGAGGGGGGGATGGTGGCACAGGAGGAGATAGCTGTGGGGGATGGGGTGGTAGAAAGAGTGGAGGAGGTTGGCAAGTTAGCAGGGGGTGGGGTAGGCTTCCCTGAAGAGGTGGGTTTTCAGGGTGCGCCCAAAGGAGAGGAGAGTAGGTGATAATCTGATGGGTTGGGGCAGGGAGTTCCAGAGGATGGGTGACACCCTGGAGAAGTCCTGGAGGCGGGCATGGGAGGAAGAGACCAGGGAACTAGAGAGAAGGAGGTCTTGTGAGGAGCGGAGTGTGTGTGCTGGGTGGTACTTGGATATTAGGTCAGTGATGTAGTTCGGGGCAGTATGGTGGACAGCTTTGTACGTCAGAGTTAGGATTTTGAATTTGATCCGTTGCGCAATCGGAAGCCAGTGGAGGGATTGGCAGAGGGGGGTGGCGGAAATGGAGCGGTTGGAAAGGTGAATGAGAATGGTGAGAAGTGTGTATTAAGAAGCATTCAGCTACACAGCAGGTGTCAATAGGATGAAATATTTTTCTATGCCGGGATTGAAGAACAAATTTTTTATCTATTATATAGTAGTATAGAAAGTAATCTGTATTACAGACAATAGAAGTGAACATGTTAAGAACTGGATCACCTCGTAGAGCCTCTGTCTTCTTGTCTTTGCCGTTGTACATTTTCTTTACATTACTTATCCTGTATGAAGGGACAAGATGATGATTTAGAGGACATTACACAAAACAGACCTTGGACATGTTGTATGAACTGATCATAATCATAAACTGATCATAAACATAATTTAGATCAACCATTCTCAACCAGAGTTTCTCCAGAGGTTTCTAGGGGTTCCTTGAGCTGTGGCTGGTTGACCTCCCAAGTCTCAACTGATGGGGTCTTCACAGTTCCAAGGCTAAAACCACTCAACAGAGTTTGTGCCTGACACTATAATAAATAATTGACATCAACTAATGTAAACCAGAGTTCCTCCACAGGTTTTTAAGGGTTCCCAGAGCTGTGGCTGGTTGACCTTCCTGCTTATGGTACCTACATAATTCCAGGGCCAACACCAATCAACAGAGCTAGTGCCAAGGCACCAATGATCTTTTTAGATTTTTTTTGGCATTCTGACCACCAATGTTGGGCTTTCTTTCCAATGACCACCAAAAAAATTAATTATAGCAGGGGTTCTCTAATAACCCCCAACAAATGTCAAGGGTTCCACTGGGGTAAAAGATTGAGAAAGGTGGCTCCACATGAATCAACAGAATACTCTTTTAGCATGGCCAAATCACATTTTTGGGGTAACAAAGGACCTCATCCTTACCATGATTTAAAAATCAGGTATTGGGCTCTCTTTAATTTAAGGTGCTTACTGTGTGTTTTCTATAAAGGACAGAAGTCGACCACCTTGAACATCAGTACCTGATCGCTTCTTTTCCCAGTAACTCAATGGGAACTTTTTCCACATAGTCCCCCAAGTCCTTCTCTATGCGCTCTCCTTCTCTTAGTGGTACAGGGGACATCTTCTTCTTTGACCAGAATGAAGGTCTCAGGCAGAACAGTGGCTCATGTCTCACTCCGTGTTTATCTGCCATCAAAAGAAGACAAGTCTGATCAAGGCCATGAGAACAAAATAAAGATGGCTATAGTGTTACTTATGCAGAGGCTTTTATACCAGAGTGTATAATATTACATCATATGATTGGCATCTCAGTGACCAAGACAAGTCAATGCAATAGCTTGCATTCTTATATTTGAGGCTTGGACACAATTGGTATTCCCATATGTGTGCTCCACTTAACACATTTTGTTATTGGAATACTTTGGTCCACCAATAAATGATAAGCAGCCATTTGTCCTCACCTGGAATAATCTTGTCAAAATAGAGAGTGAGGATGATATAAAGCACTGAGTCTAGAGTCAGGTAGATGGCACTGGAGAGTATGTGGGAGGAATCACCACTGATGTCCGAGAAGTAGGTCCCTTGAAGGTCATTTGCCATGTGCATGCTCTAAAAATACAGAGAAGCCAAAATGAATGGACACATCATGCCAACTTTGCCAACAATACAAGAGTCCATGTCAAGCATCACAGGTGTTTGCTGAAGTGTATTTAAAGCAAATAAGTTCTTTGTCCATGCAGTGCAGGACAACAGGTTCACATTAATGGCAATCCCTTGTAAGAGGAACCGTGTGGTTGGCTAGTTATGGTGCCCAAGGCCCAGCCTGCTGCTGTAGCCCTACTAGAACATGATCCTTCCTGCAGAGGCCAACTCTTCCACCATCTTGTTCCCTGCTACTCACAATAGGCCTTCTCACAACATTCTCAGAAATAGACCTTTATATCAGAAGGAGTGTCCACACGGTTGTTAGCTTCACTGCACTTTAGTGGTGTTATTCAGGGAATGGCAAGACAGTCACATCACAAGGACATATATTCCAGAGTAATTAGATGTACACAGTCATTCACATAAAGTGGATGGTCTGCAGTAGTCACATGTCAAAGCACTTGCAGCACCTCACAGCCATCTTCCTTTAGTCTCTCCTCTGCCCAGGGTCATAAGTAATCCCAGGACTGAGCTATCTGTAGACACCTCCCAACTGGTTACACCTCTCCCGAGAACCCTCCAGTCTCATACAGGGATCTCCAGCCTGGCCTAGAAAGCTTTTTGCAATCTTCCCTAGCCCCTACCTCCTTAAGGGATAAAATATCTACAGTGGGCTCCTCCTGCATACAGGTGCACTCTCCACCCAGCCCCTTGCCCTGTCCAGTGTCTGGCTTCCATGCCCCAAGACACTCTGTGTACCTCCCCACCTAGCTTATACGGTATATGGGTGCTGACTCAACCCTGAAATCACCTCTGGGAGGGTTCTACATAAAATAGGCCTACCACCTATTTTCACTATCTGCTGTACCAGACATTATTCTGATACAGGACCACCTAGTGGTATAGTGGCTTAAATTCACCTGCCTACACCCTGAAGAACTGGTTCACGCCTCTGAGGTTCCAATGAGCTGCCAAATGAAGAAAATCAGTACTTTCAGGTTTAGCTGAGCATACCATGTACTCTTATTCCTGTCATATAACTGCGCCGGTGCTTGGTGACTGGTAACTGTAAGGGGTGCCAACAACAGCTCCTAATAATAAGGTATTACCTCCACCATCCCAACGGCAAAGGAGAAGGGGTGGAAAATGCTCAGAAAAACTTCCAGAGATTTGGGCATGGCGTTCACCAGCGGTAGGAGGCCCAGTGCGGCTAGGAAGAGAGTGAGGAAAAAACCCAGAATTGCTGTCAGACGGTGCTTCCTGAAGAGGGTGCTCAGCATGCAGTTAAAGCAGACCTGTGGGGGAGAGGGTGAAAGATTAAATAGTGAGGAGGAATTTGGTTCATGAAAAGGAGTTATGTGATGTATGTTGCAACTGGATGACATGTAATTTGCTCTGTGCACTGCGTATCATAAGCAACTGTGATTTCTAAAATCTCTCTGTCAACCTATATTCCGTCCTAGCTCTGGATACCTCCAGCCACTTTCTGTCTGTGTGCACTTCAGGGGTGGTGGCATGGCATTTCTCAGGGCAGGTTTCCTGAGAGTGACAACACTTGACCATGCCTGTATAATGTCTATTGAAATAGTTACTTGTAGTCTCCACTTGAGTCAGAGTGTTGTCATCCCATTACTGGAAGTGCCTGAACAAGGACCTTTTTGACAGGATTTTGAAAATAACTTTTGAAAATACATTAACATATTAAAGCTTTTATGAGATTTATTGAATGTGGATATAGGAATAACGTGATGTTCATTTGTGCAAACACATCATCCAGACTTACCGTTGCTATGCCGTAGAGGCAGAAGAGAAGAAAAATAACTCCAAAGGAACTCTGCACAAATATGTAAGTGGTGGCAACCAGAGCCATGAGGGTGGCGATGATGATGGCACTGACGGTATACAGCAACCCCCAAGACAACCTGAAATACAAGATGATGGCATCATATTGGAAATCTTCTAAGGTTGGAAAACTCCAACCAATGAGGACCATTTTACCTGTCAGCAGAATGGCAGCCATACCTGTGACCCCTCATCATGCTGCACGTTTCCCAAAATCAGTAGTGCAACCACTGTCACTGGCCTGCCTCATCTCCTACACTATTGACACCTTCCCTGAGATCTTTATTTTCCATTAAGGATTCCAATCAAGAATATATTACTTTGGGTTGGCCAACGCCACTCACCAAAATGCTAGATCCTTCAGTCCCATCATCCTCATCAGCTCTCTGGTTTTCCTCCTCTCCCGGGTAATCTGAAGCGTCATGAGATACGACAGAGTGATGAAGCACATGCTCATTCCATACATGAAAATGCCCATGTACAGAACTGTCCTCTCTGTGTAGTCCACGGCTTTCATCTTCACCACCTCTGTGGCCGCCATCCCATCCCATAGCGACTGCTTGGTGTTCCTCTGCAAAATATTGTTTTTTCAGATTAATTCAATATTTTTTTTTAAGTTGGATAATTCTTATGTTTTTATTGTTTTTTTTATAATATTTTTCTGTTTAAAGCAGGGGTGTCAAACTCATTTTTATCACGAGCCACATCAGAATTATGGTTGTCCTCAAAAGGCCCATTGTATCTGTAAGACTAGATGCACAGAGCACCCCACCCCCCTTACATCAGATGTCAAGTGTCCCCCCACCATCAGAAGTCAAGAGTCCTTCACCCTCCCTTACATCACAATGTATGTCCCTTATCTTGTGCTTCTGCTGGGAAGAAGTTAGGGGCAGAGCTGGCAAGCAAAAGTGCAGGGTCTGGAGGAGAACCAGAGGAGGGCTGCCAGAGGCTGTTGCATGCTGACACCAAGGGAGGCAGAGATGAGTGGGTGCTGCAATTGCACAGGGAGGCACAGGATCTGTGGGAAGAGTTCTGTCCTCCTCTCTGCTGCCGACTGCTGAGATGGGGGAGCAAAGACAAACCTCTCCGCAGCTGCATGGAGAAGCACATGATTTGGCAGACCTGTCCTGTTCTCCTCTCTGCTGCCGACTGCTGAGACAAGGAGGTGCTGCAGCTGCAGAAGAGGTGCGAGGGCCACATGAAATGAACTGGCATGCCAAATTCAGCCAGTGGGCCTTATGTTTGACACAAATGGTTTAACAACTTGCCTATTGGGCACTTATACCCCCTTCCTGCCCAGGCCAATTTTCAGTTTTCAGTGCTGTCACACTTTGAATGACAATTGCATGGTCATGCAACACTGTACTCATAAAATTTGTATCAATTTTTTTGAGATAGATAGAGCTTTCTTTTAGTGGTATTTAATCACCGCTGGGTTTTTTATATTCTTGCTAAGCAAACCAAAAACAACTGAACATTTTGAGGGAAAAAGTTTTTTCTTAGTATCTGTTATAAAATTTTGTAAATGAGTAATTTTTCGCCTTCAATGATGTGCGCTAATGAGGCTGCAGTGATGGGCACTGATGAGGAGGCACTGGTAGCTGGCACGGATGGGAATTGACAGGCATCACTGGTGGGCATTGACAGACATCACTGATGGGCACTAAAAAGGCAGTACTCATATATGGCACTGATAGGGAGCACTGATAGGTGGCACTGATAGGTGGCACTGATAGGTGACACTGGCTGGCACTGATAGGCAGCTCTGATTGGCAGCACTCATAGGTGGCACTGACTGGCACTGATAGGTGGCACTGAAAGGCAGCTCAGATGGGCACTGATATATGGCATTGATGTGCACTGGTAGGCACTGATATGTGGCATTGATGTGCACTGATGGGAACTAACAGGTGGCATTGATGGGCACTGACAGGTGGAATTGATGGACACTTACAGGTGGTACTAATGGGTCGGCACTGATCATCAGCCCTGTAGATGTAGATGTACCCTCTGAGGAATGACGATTACCGGCATTTCCTTTTTTACATGCGATCAACTGTGATTGGACATAGCTGATCACATGACAGAGCCGAAGTCATCAGCTCTTTCTGCTGATCGGTGATCCGCTGTTTCAGGGACACAGCTCACCACCGATTGCTGTGCTGCGCGCCCCTCGGGGGCGCTCACTCGCGTTTAGAGTAGGAGGAATATAACGTCTTCCCAGAACAAGGGAATCGCCCTGCTCCTGTCATTTCCTTATATGGTGGGCGGGAGGCAGTTAAATAAAAGGTAGTAAAGGGAGTAAGAGAAACATACCATATCAAGCTTGTATCATCTATTTCTTTGGAAAGTGATACACTCCCAGAAAAAATGGAAATCCCACCTTTTGGACATTTGTCACTAGAACAAGTGTTTTCATTGGAAGAATCTCCCTTCAATTTCTGTCCCTGTGACAATTATCATCTGGACATATATAGAACTGTACTTATTTTAAAAAAATGCAGAGCTACTCACCCTGTGAAACTACATAAAACACATACAAGAGGGTGCAAACTCCTCGTGCCTTACCACCAAACAATTTATTGAATCCACAAAGACAGATGGATACTCAAAAAAGACTAAAAACAGCAGGCACATACTGTAACATGAATATGTCAACCTTAGGCGGTAAGTCCTGTCATTGGACTATCTGATTGGAAAGCTAATGCATTTTGGAGTCTAGCCCCCTTCTTCAGTGCTGACAGTCAGATCTGAAGGAGAGCTAGACCCCCTAAATCGGGTTAGTTTTTCAATCAGATGGTCCTATGATTGGACTTACTACCCAAGGCTAAAGTGTTCTTGTTATATGCCTGCTGTTTTTAATCTTTTGTGAGTATCCATCTGTCTTTGGGGATTCAATAAATTATTTGGTAATGCACAACGAGTTTGTGTCCTCTTGTATGTGTTTTTTGCAGTTAACTGAAGATTTCACGATCTGTAGAGGGCTGCGCCTGAGGAAGCATTGTACACCTAAGTACCCTTTGGAGCACCTTGAATCGAACGCTGGAGTGTTTTTAAGGATCTAGTAACTCTGAAACTGCATCTGTGAGAATGGGGGCAAAATCCAATGTTATTAGGCTATTTCCTCTCCAGGTTGAATGTTATTCATTCTTAACTAATCTACACGCAGTTTCACAGGACAAATAGCTCTGCAAATTGGATTGGCTGAATCTCCAGGGATCCAGAGAGCAATAGGAGCCTTACAAAGAGGAAAGTGCCAGACCAGTTGTATAAAGTCCAGAAAGGATTGTCATTAGAAGTTTTGTTCCGTATAGAATCAACATGTTTCAGGGAAGTCAAATCCTCCCCTTTCATCGGGGCTTACAAATGCTGATGAAATCGTATTCTGAACAAATAGAAACGGAAAGATCCTGAGGTGTAAATTAGATAACAAAACTTCCTTCTTTCGGCCATTGGGCGGAGCAGATTTATTTTTTATTCAATTTACCCCTCAGGATCTTTCAGGTCCAGTGGTCAAACAGCTGTCTATATAATGAATGGTGACGGGACATTAATGGTCTTTTGCTCACCTCTACAATGGCAGAGTCAATACTAGCTTGTAGAGAGATGAACCCCAATTTCCAGTACTCCAGAGGACGGCATCTATATTCTGAATTTTCACAGTAACCTAAAGGAACACACAGGGAGGGAGAGCAAAGACAAAAAGAGTTAAATCAGTAGTGCTTCTTTTATGCATCCCTGTCAGTGACAATGAAACTTTCTAGATGTCTAGAAGGGCAGCATAATTTCCAACTGACCACCATTGTAAGGTGTATTCTTCCCACTGGCCACCATTGTAAGGGGCATCCATACCACTGATCACCAATGTAAGGAGCATTCTTCGGACTGACCACCAATGTAAGGGGCATTCTTCCCACTTACCACCAATATAAGGAGCGTTCTTTCCACTGACCACCAATATAAGGAGCATTCTTCCCACTGACCACCAATATAAAGAGCATTCTTCCCACTGACCACCAATAAAAGGAGCATTCTTCCCAATGGACACCATGTAAGGAGCATTCTTCCCATTGACCACCAATATCAGGAGCATTCTTCCCAATGACCACCAATATAAGGAGCATTCTTCCCACTGGACACCGATGTAAGCAGCATTCTTCCCAATTTTTTTTATTAAAAGTCTTGCAATCAATAAACATAAAATAATATACAGAATATACAAAAATAAATAATGTCAGACAAAAGCAAACCTCTCAGAAATTACCATGTCAATACTGGGGGAAATAAATCTTACTACAACTCAGATCATTACACCAGACATCAAACCTGAGAGGTCAAGAAACAACCGGCCCCCATTATGTATGTAGCCCTTCTTCAAAAAGAAGATCTTAACAAACAAAAACTAAGGGAGTGAAAAGAACAGCATAAAAAAAGAGCCCCTCACCCAGGGATGGACAGTTCACCAAAAGGCAGGTCTGATATTCCTCCATGCCCTTATCCAGACTCCCTGCCTTTCTCAAGACCCCAAATCTTCCCAACCTCACCCAGAATATCATGCACCACCACCTCAACAGGGAGGACTTTCTTTCGCATGGTAATCTGACACCGTGCATTCCATGTGAAGTAATGAACTATACTAACTAAAAAAAGTGTAGCTGGGAATGCCCTGTGCACCCACTCTGCATAACTCTATTTCTCTCAGTTCCAGACCCCTTTTTAGACCTCCAGAGGCCATAGATATCAACGGGGAGGAAGAATTCGAGGTAGAGGCAATTTTGGATTGCAGGAAAAGGGGTGGTCAAGTGCAATACCTGATTAAGTGGAAAGGCTATGGGCCAGAAGAGAATTCGTGGGAACCTGCTCAGAATGTCCACTCCCAGATTGATGCAGGAATTCCTTCGTAACCAGCCTCAAAGGAGGAATCGGGGCGGGCATCCGGAGGCTGCCCGTAAGGGGGGGGGGGGCAATGTCAGGGACCCCAGAGCTGGCTGCGATCGCGCACGGGTTTGCGCATGTGCGGTGTGCCCGGCCGCACTAGCATGCGAGCATTGGGACCTAGGCACCCGCGATTGCAGCGGCGCTCGCACATGCGCACTCGTGATCGCGGACGCGCGCCTGGTACCAATCAGGGTGCAGGGGACCCTATTTAAAACAGGTCAGGGCTGTGTCTAGTTGCCATATGGTCTTACCTGTATCCTGAGTTCCTGTATTGTAGATTGTCTTGTTGTCGACCCTGCCTGACCCTGATTTGCTGTCTGTCTCCTGTTCTGATCCCTGGCTTGTCTGACCATTCTCCTGCTTAACCCTGCACGTTCTGATCTCCCGTTACCGAACCCGGCTGTGACCTGTTTATCCTTCTGCTTACTGATTTTGTACCATTCTGCCACCACCATTACCGACCCGGCCTGCCTGACGCTGCCCTTGTTATCTCCTCACATCAGGCTCTCACCTGCTATACACCTCTAGTGGTGCTTCTACCGCAGCTGGGTGAACCCAGGGGCCGCGACCTGGTCTCGGCCTGCTCCAAGTCCATCCCCACCATCAGGGGCCCTGGTGAACAAGCAGGTTGGGACTTAGATTCCACGCCTTGGGGGATTCCGAACTGTGGAACGCTAGAGGCTACCACCGGTAGGTACCTAACACCATGAATATACCATCCCCACCGTGAAACGTGGTGGTAGCATCATGTCGAGGGGATACTTTTCTTCAGCAGGGACAGGGAAGCTGGTCAGAGTTGATGGGAAAATGGATTGAGCCAAATACAGGGCAATCTTAGAAGAAAACCTATTAGAGTCTGCAAAAGACTTGAGACTGGAGCCATTTTAATACATGAATATGCTTTGGACTAAACATTCCATTGTAGCTCTGGCTGTTTAGGGTCATTGTCCTGCTAGAAGCCTTCTAGAAGGACAAGGACCCTAAACATACAGCTAGAGCTACAATGGAATGCTTTAGATCAAAGCATATTCATGTGTTAGAATGGCGCTCTCAAATTCCACACTTAAATCCAACTGAGATTCTGTGGCAAGATTTGAAAATTGCTGTTCACAGATGCTCTCCATCCAATCTGACAGAGCTTGAGCTATTTTGCAAAGAAGAATGGGCAAAAGTTTTGCTCTCAATGTGCAAAGCTGGTAGAGACATCCCCAAAAAACCTTGCAGTTGTAATTGCAGTGAAAGGTGGTTCTACAAAGTATTGACTCAGGGGGGCTGAATACAAATGCACATCACACTTTTCACATTTTTAAAACCATTTATCATTTTCCTTCCACTTCACAATTATGTGCCATTGCGTGTTGGTCTATCACATAAAATCCCAATTAAATACATTTACATTTTTGGTTATAACATGACAAAATGTAGAAAATTTCAAGGGGTGGGAATACTTTTTCAAGGTACTGTGTGTGTGTGTGTGTATATATATATATATATATATATATATATATATATATACAGTGGATATAAAAAGGCTTTTGCTGTAGGATGCGACTATGAAAATGTTAGATAAGACCTCCTAGAACAGCTGAGCTTTATTTGGGGTTAATCAGAGGCACTTTAAATGATAGCAGGTGTGTACTGACTCCTATTTAACATGATTTTTAATGTGATTGCTTAATTCTGAACACAGCTATATCCCCAGTTATAAGAGGGTGTGCACACTTATGCAACCACATTATTTTAGTTTTTGATGTTTACTTCCCCAGTTTGTTTTTCAACTGAGTTGTACAATTTATAGGTCACATTAAAGGTGGAAAAAGTTCTGAAATGATTTATCTTTGTCTCATTTTTTAACATCACAGAAACCTGACATTTTAGCAGGGGTGTGTAGACTTTTTATATCCACTCTGTATATGTATATATATATATATATATATATATACATATAATTTTTACCCCCTGGTACGGAAGATATTTCGCAGTACCAGGGGGTGAGATCTTCCTTCCATAAACTGCCATTTGTGTACAAGCAGTGGCATTGCTGTGGGGGTGCAGGGGGTGCGGACCGCACCTGCGTGACTCCCACTAGAGGGGTGACACCAGGATTTTCAGTAGTCCATAAAAAAGATGAGAGTTCCAAAGCTGACTGGGCTTGGACGTTTTCGGCAGGCTGGGTGCAGTGAGTCAGTAGCGCCATGTTTAACCACTTTCGGGCCGCCCGCCCACAATGTACTGTGAACGGGAAACAGCTGCAGGACCAACACAGCGGAATGAGAAATCCCTGGAATCGGGACCCAATGATCACGTGATCGCTATGCAATCACATGACCACAATGACAACAAAGCTTTTATGACTCAATCTGACTCTTAAAAGCTTTGCTTCTGTTCCTGGAGAGCTGTGATTGGTCCACAGCTCTCACATAACAAATGGGGCCAATCACAGCACCACTCTGTACTATGTGACCAGCTGGAACCAATCAAAGATCATTATTATATTGAACTGTCCTGAACGTAAAACATTCATGACAGTTCAAAGCTAGCTTTGCATTGCAGATTAATGAACGTCATTGCTCATGCAATGCAAAGTGTTAGGCTTATGTTCACACTAGCTCTGTCAGCAGGCGTCAGACAGGCGTTTGGGAAGCGTTTTTAACGCTACTCAAATGCCTCTGAAAATACTGCAGCACATAGTGCTGTTCATACAGAAGCGTTAGTGTCGCATCGCGTCGTGGCAAAACTGACCCCTCTGGTCGAGTCAGGAGGAGTTAAAGCCTCCCATTCAAGTCTATGGTGCCCCTCCGCAAACGCCTGGCCGGCGTTTGCGGTGCGGTTGCGAGGCATTTGCAGAGCGTTAACACCATTTAAACTTCATTATATGAGTTTGTTGTGGGGTTTTAACGCACGGCAAATGCCTACCAACCGCTTCAAAACCGTGCATTGGGCGTTTTTGGAGCGTTTGCAGAGCGTTAAAAACATTTTACAAATGCCTGTCTAATGCTTGTCAAATGCTATAGGGGCGTTTGGCAAGAGTTAGAAATAAAGTCAAGTGTGAACGAGCCCTTATAAAAAAAAAAACCCTGATCACCATCCAGAGTAGTACAATGTTACTATGGTAACATTGCACTACTCAGATGAAAGTATTTTTTTTAATAATTAAAAAACAAAGAAAAATAATGTTTAAAAAAAAACTAAAAATGTTTCAAAAATTATTGATAGAAATGTATTTATTTTTTTTACTACTTGCCACCCACCAACAATGTGCAGGAAAGCGGCAGGCCTGGGCAAAGTGAAATAATCTTACGTCACTTTCTATTTCGGAGTGTGCATGCGCCCCCCCCATTGCCCCCTATGCTTTCCAGAGAGAGAAGAACGAACACTGCACTGAGTAAAAGCACATTTTACACACACGTTAGATTAGCACATTTAACCCTTTGGTCACACTATTAACCCTTTGATCACTCCATCACCTAACCAGTGCCATTAGTACAGTGTCAGTATATAGAATTTTTCACTGTATTACTGCCACTAGCGACATCAGATTGCATCAGGGTCAGTTAGCCCCTCCCAGCAGGGTCAGCTAGCGTTAGATTGCCCGCACACTATCGCACTCACGCTATAGGTTGCTGATCACCGCCATTACTAGTATAGTGTTTGTACGTATCAATATATTGATCACAAACAGAACTATACTAGTGCTTGCTTTGTATAGTGTCCCCAAAAATGCAGTGTTAGCAGGATCAGCCCCGTTCGTGGCCAGCACTAACGTTTAGCCCCTGCACTGTTTTTCACGGAAGACTTGTATCAATTGATTGTGGGCCAAGCCAATTTATATGCACAATTCATCGCTGCCCACCCAAATTCAGCTCTTGCCAGATAATTTGCATGGAAACCTATCACAGTTTCTGAATTTAAAACTTTTTTGGGCCTTACAAAAAAGAATGAATTGCGGTCATATTGGTCCACAGACCTGAATGCCCATGTTCTCTGCTGTTACATATATGCCCAACATAGACCAGCAATGTACTGGTTTGTCGCTGGACTTTGAGTAGTTATAGCGGGATGATGACTGCAGCTACAGGCATCATCCAGGTATAATTTTTTTCATCTGGTGGTTAACTTTCATGTAAAAACAATCCTAGCTGCTAATTAGCCACTGAATTGCTTTTACAAGCAGCAGAAAGGAACTCCCCCACCCCTTTTGCGGCCTTTCAAGGTTTTTTTTTGGGCTCTCCTGTCCCACAGAGGAACCACAAAATGCAGCCAGTGGTTCCACTGGCTGACAATAAAACTGATCGGAGACTGTTATGCCTCCAATCATCTCTATGGTCTAAGAGACCAGAAGCTATGAGCATTTCATCATATCCGTTTCATAAGATATAAACAATTCCATTTTAACATTAGGAAAGCATCTTATCACATCAATCTCTGTGTGATCAGATGCTTTAAGGGCAGAGGAGAGATCTAGAATCTAATAGACCCCAGATTTCTCAGAAAAGACTACCTGTCACTGTTTTATTGCTATCACAGGGGATATTTACATTCCTTGTGATAACAATAAAAATGATCAAAAAAAAAAATTAAAGGGAGAGTGTAAAAATAATTAAAAAAGCAAAATAAATAATAAAAAAAAATTCACCCCCATCCCCGTGCTTGCGATCAAAGGCAAACACAAGCAGCGGTACCATGGCAGAATGTAAACAGAAATTGCAACATGCATGTGAGGTATCACCATGAATGTCAGATTGAAGGCAGTAATTCTAGCACTAGACCTCTTGTGTAAATCAAAAGTAGTGACCTGTAAAGGCTTTTAAAGCATCGTCTATGGATTTTACAAATGTACGTAATTTGTCGGTGTTGTACAGGCATGCGCAATTTTAAACCATGTCATGTTTGGTATCCATTTACTCAGCATAACATCATCTTTTATATTTTATCAAACAATTGAGCAATATATTGTGTTATTGTGCATTAAAAAGTGTATTTTTCAAAAAACGTTGCATTCGAAAAAATCGTCTAGATGCTCTCTTACCTTTATCAGCCAGGTAGTCATTGGGGTTCGGAATGGTGTACAGATGATATCTGATAAAATATGTAAACTCGTTCTCAAATTCCACACCAACAGTGATGTTCTCATCAACTACGTCCACAAGGTCGAAAGTATTTTGAAATTCTTGCACTGATATTTCTAGAAGGGGGAATAAGGGCTTTTGTCATTTTCATTCATTTATTAGCAGGGGTAGTTCTCAGGGTACTCCAACTTCATACACACATAACACTTGAACGGGAACTAAAAGATTTTATAAAGCAGTCAGGCCCTCTGGTGACCCCCATACACTCCTCATTCACCGGAGAGGAGCACCATGCTTGGCCTACAGCTGATCTTACTTGGGATGATGGTGCTTCTGCTGACCCTCTGCATTATGTCCCGGATGGCTGGGATTGTAGAGATGTAGCCAACTGGAAAAGTTTTGTTGCTGAATTCATCCAGACGCCCCAGGACCTCGGCCGGTGAGTACGCACTTGGCCTTGGACTGTCTCTAATAGCCAGTATTAAGAACAGCATGAAGATCCATGCCAAATGCTGGAGCCACTCCTGCAAAACCAATCATGGGTTCACCACCATCACTAATTAGGAGAACACTGTGACATCACAGACACTTCATAGAGATAAACATCTCCTGACCTCTCTTCTACTACAGGAAATTTTGGGTTAGATAAAGGGGCTCTTAACTGGAGGAATCCATACTGTTGGATGACATGGGACTGGCTCTCTGGATTACTAAAACTGAACTCCAGCCAAAATCTTTTATTTAGTTTTGCACAGAGAGATGATTGGAGGTTGAAACCTCTGTTGGTTTCTTATGCACCCAATAGCACCTCAATAGCAAAAGGCTAGCAGATGGATTTAAATTACTGCTGTGTTTATGGCAGATGTGGAAATCCAGCACTTTTTGGAACATTACACTCTTCATAAGGACAGTCTGTATTAAACCACGATTTGATGGATTGAAAACCTTTGATCATAAAGAAAGAGATTTACAGAAAGGATTTGGACCAAGAAGAACATCAAACTGTAGCAGCAGCAGTGGGTAAAAAAGTGTTTATTCCTGTGTCCCTATATCGGGATATATTGACAACTTCCTGTCCTGGGGACAGGGTGTCACATGGGTGGGAAGTGATGAGGGACAGAGACAGCAACAAAACCATCAAGCAGGTAGTGATATCATCAGCCTTTGTTGCTCTGTCCTCCTGTCCCAGTGACACCAGCACTCTGTCCTCTCTTGCCTTGTTGTTACCAAGACAGGAAGTAAGGGGAACTGTCGCTAATATGGACATAAAGTGCAAAAAAAAAAGACGACAGAAGTTTTATCCTATCAATTCAACTGGAAGTAAAATAAAGTTTTGGCTGGAGTTGTGCTTTAATGCCATAAAGGTGACCCAGTCACTAAAATTAAAGATCCAATAACAGAGCTCCTTATAAATTTATTGTAGAAAAGGAAATGTCAACAGCAGCAACTGAAATTATTATCTCCCTTAACGGCCCTTCCAACAAACACCCACAGGATTGCCCCCGGTCACGGTTCACCTACCAGCACTACATGTCCCAACCGCCTCCATTGTACCAGAATATTCTTCTGCAGCAGAGCAAAGGTCTGCTGGACAAGGCTGGCCTCTCTTGCTGTCCCTCCGGTCATCTGAAAAACACAATGTCAGCACTAATCAGTTTGGAACCACTCCATGTTGTTGTTTTTGTAACTTTTTGTATATTTTTTGTTATTTTTTGCATCTTTTTATTTATTTTGTCTTCTGTTGTTTTTTTGTATGCATTTTTTTTCTATCTTTTTGTCGTTGTTTTGTATCTTTTTGTTGTCTTTTGTTCATTCTGTTAAATGATCCTGAGGCCAAGCTGCTCTCCTATGCAATAATACGTTTTGTACATTATGTAAAACTGCAAAGCCACAAGGGATTTCTTGTCTCTGAAAAACAAAAAATCTGCCAGAAGCTAGAATGGATAACTTCCTGGGAATGTCAGACAGATGTTGCTCTCTGCACTTCTACCAGCAACCAGCGGATACATAGGAACAATGTATTCAATGTAACAGAGAAATTCCAATAATTGCAGAGCTCCGCAAAACCCCACTGAAGTCCCCGAAAAAAAATAGAAATCACTGGACGTGCACCAAACACTGGGAGAGCTGTTGCCAGTGGACTGGCACTATAAAGTGTAACTATGACCAAAATGATACATAAAATGCAGCTTGTCAGCACTGAGAACTCAAGAGCCCCTCCGCTCCATAACACAGTGTTATTACTTGCTGGTCTTGCCAGTAAATATGTTATTGTACCACTTCAAAGAGTGACAACATTCTTCATTCTGCTGTGAAATCACTCAGCAGCGTTGTCACCCTGTGGACAGGCCAGTCTTAATGGGACATGTAGTTTTAAACCATGCCACCTTTGTGTGTGAGTTCCATATATATATGAACATATTCTGCTCTTTCTCTACTGCTGATTATTTGGGCTGTCCTTGATTATATCCACTCACAGCAGGAACACAACTGTGCACAGAAGATAATCTTCCCCTGGGAGCACGACTCCATCAGAAAGGCATTCAGATCATCTGGACTTTTAAGACCATTTAAAATGTCCAATTAGATAAGTCTGGGGCTGAGCTATGTAAAATTCATTTTATCTAAATGATAGCTGGAGTCCAGCCAACAGGAACAAGACAAAAATGAACAGCCCATTAAAATATTAAATAACCAAACCAGCTTTTTCTGCATATTAATCATCAATCCAGATATTTCCCCTGCTGTAGCAAAATAGAAGTCCTTAGTCTGATGGCCAGCATCATTCAACCTGCTTCCTCTGAGCCCAGGTCACCCCAGCCTGTGATTGAGTAGTGAGCAGCACATTGATTAGTTTGTCTCTTTCGTATGGGCTCTTTATTGTTAGTACATAAACCCTGCAGCACAACTAATGGTCTTCTTGTGCTACTTTTCCCACTTCCAGATTGAGCTCTGCTGTTCAGGGACTGAAAGAGGCTGATACCAAGACACATTCAGGTACATACACTGCCTCTATTTAATGATGTATTCATGATTACAGAGTTGCATTCATTTGAATCTTTTATATCTACCTGGAGTATAACTTTAGGTAAAGCATTTTTATTTCTCTCTATGCTGCTGTTGGTGATAAAAATGTCACCAGGACAGGAAATGAGGGGAAATCCCTAAAGGAGCTCCAGATAGCAGTACAAAACATTCTAAAAAAAGAACCCGTAAAACTAAAAAAAAAACAACTTTCCCATATACTGCTAGTGTCCCAATGGCCCAAGACACAGACAGAGAAGGATGTTCTATACACTGTTACATATTGCATATATAATGTAACATTATTTCCTATGTGGTGTAAGGGCACCGGATGACCGATGACACAGACACAGGAGGATGTTTTATACACATATTATACTCTATATTGCCAAAAATACTGGGACGCCTGCCTTTACACACACATGAATTTTAATGGCATCCCAGTCTTAGTCCGTAGGGTTCAGTATTGAGTTGGCCCACCCTTTGCAGCTATAACAGCTACAACTCTTCTGGGAAGGCTGTCCACAAGGTTTAGGAGTGTGTCTATGGGAATGTTTGACCATTCCTCCAGAAGCGCATTTGTGAGGTCAGGCCCTGATGTTGGACGAGAAGGCCTGGCTCACAGTCTCCGCTCTAATTCATCCCAAAGGTGTTCTATCAGTTGAGGTCAGGCCAGTCAAGTTCCCCCACCCCAAACTTGTTCATCCATGTCTTATGGACCTTGCTTTGTGCACTGGTGCACGGTCATGTCGGAACAGGAAGGGGGGCCACCCCAAAACTCTTCCCACAAAGTTGGGAACAGGAAATTGTCCAAAATGTCTTGGTATGCTGACGCCTTAAGAGTTCCCTTCACTGGAACTAAGGAAGCCAAGCCCAACCCTGAAAAACAACCCCACACCATAATCTCCCCTCCACCAAACTTTGCACTTGGCACAATGCAGTCAGGTAAGTACTGTCCTCCTGGCAACCGCCAAACCCAGATATGTCCATCGGATTGCCAGACGGATAAGCATGATTCATCACTCCAGAGAACACGTCTCCACTGCTCTCTAGAGTCCAGTGACGGTGTGCTCTATGCCACTGCATCTGGTGTTTTGCATTGCACTTGGTGATGTAAGGCTTGGATGCAGCTGCTCAGCCATGAAAACCCATTCCATTAAGCTCTCTATGCACTGTTGTTGTGCTAATCTGAAGGCCACACAAAGTTTGGAGGTCTTTAGCTATTGACTCTGCAGATAGTTGGTGACTTCTGCACACTGTGCGCTTCAGCATGCGCTGTAATTTTACGTGGCCTACCACTTCATGGCTGAGTTGCTGTTGTTCCCAGTTGCTTCCACTTCGATATAATTCCACTAACAGTTAACCGTGGAATATTTAGTAACAAGGAAATTTCACGGATGGATTTATTGCACAAGTGGCAACCTATCATGGCACCACGCTAGAATTCACTGAGCTCCTGATAGCGACCTATTCTTTCACAAATGTTTGTAGAAGTAGTCTGCATGCCTAGGGGCTTGATTGTATACACCTGTGGCCATGGAGGTGATTGGAACACCTGAATCCAATGATTTGGAGAGGTGTCCAAATACCTTCGTCAGTATAGCGTATATGCAATGTAACATTAATTCTCATATGCAGTTAGTACCCATGACACAGTGGACGATGTTCTATACACTGTTACATATTATATATACAATGTAACGTTAATTCCCATGTAGTGTAAGTGCCTTGGATGACCCATAACACAGAGGAGGATGTTCTGTACACTGTTACACATTACATTTGCAATGGGGGATATTACTAAAAATGGAGAGTGCAAAATCTGTGGCAGCTCTGCACAGAATCCAATCAGCTTCCAGGTTTTAGTATCCAAGCTTAATTGAACAAGCTGAAGGCAGAAGCTGATTGGTTACTATGCACAGCTCTACCAGATTCTGAGTGTTCCAGTTTTAGTAAATCTCCCCCAATGTTACATTATTTCTCATATTCTATGATTGGTTGGAAGAGTCATTACATATCTTACCTTGCGAGTCGGAGAGGATTACACACAGACGGCCACCCTGATCCTCCTATACCACCATCTGTTCTATCTGCTTCTCACCCAGTACAGCATCGGTGTAAGGAGGTCACATAACTGGGACACAAATGTGTCTGTGATGTTGTCAGAGCTTCCAGAATCCTGGCTGGGGTCGCTGTTCTCCTTTGTGTGTGAGCATTCAGCATCTATCAGAGACAATTCTTGTATTGTGCTAATGTACAACCCAGAATCGTCTTGCACCATCCCATCCACATTCTTCATATGGTGGTTGGATGGATGTGGAACAGAGGAAGCCAGTACCCACCCCCTCAAGGGGGGGGGGGACAAAATCTTTTTGATTTTTTGAACATTTTGTACTTTTGCACAGATTACACAATCATAGCTGCAATGACTGGCTGGGTCTGTGGTCAGCATTGTACAAGATACAGGAGACTGGAGTCAACACAAATCTCAACTGTCCCATTTTTCTGTATAGTAAGAGAGGGATCCTTATCCCTTGGTGGGGATAAGTGCTATCTGGACCTATGAATTATTTTTCTTATTTCAGCTGTTGCTATTTATTCATTGTAGTGCTTTAATAGGATGATATTTTTATTATAGTTTAGTATTTAATTTAGTTTTTAACGTGTTCCATTTCAGTTCATGTTATTGTATACATTCATTTGTTGTTAGTGGTGATTTATGTTATTTTGTTTAGCTTTGTTCTTCATTGAGTATAAGGCTCCATGCACACTAGCATTATTTTAAGCTCAAAAAACGCTGGATAAGAAACACTGGTAACAGCGTTTTTTATTATTATTATTATTATACAGGATTTATATAGGGCCAACATTTTGCTCAGCGCTTTACAATATAAAGGGAGACAATACAGCAACAATATACAGCGGGGATCGAAAGTTTGGGCACCAAAGCTAAAAATTTGTATTAATGTACATAAAGAAGCCAAGGAAAGATGCAAAAATCTCCAAAAGGCATCAAATTACAGATTAGACATTCCTATAATATGTCAACAAAAGTTATATTTTATTTCCATCATTTACACTTTCAAAATAACAGAAAACAAAAAAATGGCATCTGCAAAAGTTTGGGCACCCTGCAGAGTTAATATCTTGTACTGCCCCCTTTGGCAAGTATCACAGCTTGTAAACGCTTTTTGTAGCCAGCCAAGAGTCTTTCAATTCTTGTTTGAGGTATCTTTGCCCATTGTTCCTTACAAAAGTCTTCCAGTTCTTTGAGATTTCTAGGCTGTCTGTCACGCACTGCTCTTTTAAGGTCTATCCATAGATTTTCAATTATGTTGAGGTCAGGAGATTGTGAAGGCCATGGCAAAACCTTCAGTTTACGCCTCTTGATGTAATCCCCCATGGATTTCGAGGTGTGTTTAGGATCATTATCCATTTGTAGAAGCCATCCTCTCTTTAACTTCAGCTTTTTCACAGATGGCATCAAGTTACCATCCAAAATTTGCTGAAATTTTATTGAATCCATTTTTCCTTCTACTCATGAGATGTTCCCTGTGCCACTGGCTGCAACACAACCCCAAAGCATGATTGATCCAACCCCA